TTTGATTTACTATGGTGAAAACTTTGGAACTTTGATTTACTAAAGTGAAAACTTTGGAACTTAAAAAAAACAGACAAAATACATAGGCTTATTTTTAACATTTTGCTATTCCCCATAAAGTTAACCTGACTTAGAATATTTTTCTGAGTTATATATTACACTATAATTTAATTTGGTAGTAATGCATCATTTAATTGGATAAAAAATTAATCTAAATTGTAAAATCTGGTTTGCCTACGTCATAATTATGTACGTCGAAAACGTATCAATCCGCTTGGCGATACGTTTAAAATATGAAAAATTTGTAGGCGTTCTAAGGGAGAACTTCTCTTGTTTTATATACTCAATGATTGAAAATTAAATTGTAGGGAATGAATTAAATAGCAATCAAAATTATACTGCCATTACCTGGGTTGGAGCAGTATACTTTTTTTATAAACCACGAAGCGTAAGCGTATTTCATTTTCCTTGAATTTGGAGAAAACCTACTAAGAATTATCCTTTATCCAAACCAGTGACATAATATTAAGTCTCCTCCAAAGAAAAAAATTGTTGTATCGTCTGTCCTTTACTTATATACCTTTTATAAAGAGGAATTTGCAGTATTAATGTGTCAATATTTCTGTTAATAGCATGTTTATAGAGAACCATTAGGCATAAAGCAATGCTATCATACCATGCATAGTTGAGAAATTTATGAATGCTAAATCATTATGATAACAAAGTGATACTTACCCACACTGGTTACGATCATGTGTAATCTGACAAATAATTAAAGTAAAAATTTGAGCAAAACACACAAAAATTACAGTTTTTAGAAACTTCTTTGTATTCATTTCTGTTTTGTCCGTTTAGATTCTCCGTAACAAAGTTCATTCGAGGAAAATAAATTATTTGAATTTTTTTCCTTTATCACTTTATCAAAGGTTCAATAGAACATCGTACTTCCTGTTCAAAAATAAAAAAAAAAATTATAAATGGAATCAGCGATGGAAGTCATTTGTATGAACAACTAGTAATAGACTAAGCATGGGAATGTGCAACAGACAACGGGTTATAAGGAAGCATAAAGAAAATTCTAACTTGACTAAATCAGGGATACATTTTGACGTCATGGTAGGCAAGACGTCAATTTTAGAACACGAGTTTTTCTAATACTGGTATTTAAAGATGTAATGTAACCCTAGAAAATGAATAGAAACGTGTGATCATTAACAAGAAAATGTTTATATTATGATATTATGTTATGCATCTGTCATTTTGATTAAAATCTACCACTGATTATGTCATATGTGTACATCAAGTAACTTAGGTCGTGTATAGAGAATTTGGCCAAGAAAGACGGCATGTACAGAGACGTAAAATGGAGTTTAAAAGCAAATATCGTTAAAAATTTTTAAATTACATATGGAGTTCAGTTATTTAAACATACATTTTTTTCAATCAATTATATTTTCGAAGACAGTTAGCTATACACGTATTCCGTTCGGCCTTTCCTCTGTCATTCGTGACAAAAATGATGCAACAGAACAACAATAGGCTTGATATTTTAAAAAATAAGATTTGTACAGATGGAAAGTTTGCCTTATGAAATACTATCGTCAACTTCCCTTACTTATGCAGCAATATACCTTCATCATCTGCATACGGAGTATATATATCTCAGTTGATTCGATACGCAAGAGCGTGCTCTACGTATGAGCAATTTCTTAAACGAGGTAAATTATTGACAAGCAAGTTGATGAAACAAGAATATCAACAGTCTCGTTGAAAGTCATCATTTCGTAAATTCTGTGGTCGATACAATGACCTTGTCAGCAAATACAATTTATCATTGAGTCAAATGCTGACTGACGTTTTTCATACCACTTGTTAGTCCATTATTTATACACTGAATTGACGACGGATTTTTTCCGTTAATTCCTGATCAAGACAACAAGCACACGGCGGGTGTGACCGGTCGGCAGGGGATGCTCACTCCTCCATGGCACCTGATCCCACCTCTGATGTTTCAGAGGTCCGTGTTTGCTCTGCTCTTATTTTGTATATTGTTTAATGGACGTTGAGATTGAATACTGTTCGTTATCTCCATATCCTTCTTGGAAAGTGCTGCTAATATCCAGTGTTATGCATGTTTTTACGAAAATTCTAGGTTCATATGAATAATATTTAAAACACCGGATAATTTGTCGTGCGAATGTGTGGAATAATTATTTTTCTGACAGAACAGTGGGATTCTAGTATCACTTTTTAGGCAAAATAGATGTTTTTCAACTATAGTATTTACTCAGAGAAATTATTGAACTCCGGGTTATTGTTGGTCTGTTAGCATTTTTATTAAGGACCATTTTGCTATTAATAGAATTTATGTGATGCTATGGTGGTGGTGCACGTCCGATGTTAGACACTTTTTTATCTTTATGCAATGGTTAATAATAGTTTACGTTCATTAGCAGTTCTGGTCAATTATCAAACTTAGTTTTCTTAAAACAGTTTAAATTTCCCGATAAATGATTTATATGCTTCCTTAACATACCTGCTAAAATAGGTATATGTATATATATGATTTTTAGATGATGTTGATGTTGTAACATTACTATTTTGTATTCATGAAAACACACTTGTCGCATCTTAAGATTTCAGATTGATCGGGGCTGTAAACTAAAGTGGTTTTAAACAAAACCAAAGATTACTTTACTAACAGAACTCCTTAGATTCTAAAATACCTATGTTGATATATAGAACAGAATTTCTTCTCACTACTTGAAAATATACTAAATTAAATTAAAGATATAATTTTTCTGTGTTCATAGTAACATTTGATATAACAAATACTATGGAATCGTCGTTGTTCGTTGGGAGCAATGTTAGTGTATTCGTATCATGAATTTGCATCCCAAATGATCATATTTTGTCTTAATATTTATTAATAGGATTATCTGAATATACGAGTTGTCCTTGAAATTACTATTCCACGAGCCAAAAGAAAAGTGCTCACCAAGGAACATAACCCCAACGAATTAAAATGATAATAAATACTATGGAATCGTCGTTGTTCGTTGGGAGCAATGTTAGTGTATTCGTATCATGAATTTGCATCCCAAATGATCATATTTTGTCTTAATATTTATTAATAGGATTATCTGAATATACGAGTTGTCCTTGAAATTACTATTCCACGAGCCAAAAGAAAAGTGCTCACCAAGGAACATAACCCCAACGAATTAAAATGATAATATATAATATATATTATAACAGTTTATTATATTCATATGATGCTTTGAAAATACCATGAAATTGTTTACTGAATTAAGGTCAAATAAGAAATAAAATAAATATAAATATCGGAATCTCATAACCTGAAAATTTTAATTAATGGCATACTTTAAAAATGATTATTGATAATCTCGAAAGCCACAAAAATGTATAAATAGAAATAGAATGAATGGAGATAATAAATAGTATTCAAGAATGAATGGAGATAATGAATTGTTTTGAAGATTAAAAATCCATTAAACAATGATAAAAAAGGAGCAGAGCAAACACGGGCTTCAAAAAATAAGAGGTGGGATCAGGAGCCATGGATGTGTTAGCATACCCTGCCGACCGGTCACAACCGCCGTGTGCTTATTATCATGATTGGGAAATAACGGAAAATGAAATGAAAAACAATACTAGTCCATAGCTAGATTCCAGAATGAAAGCTTCTTTTTGTGATTATGGATGTTGCCCAGTAGACGTTCTTCATATTAAATGTGTTTCAGAAGATAATTCTGAATCTTCTCGTCGGTTCGTTTGCATAAAATTTGCATGCAAAAGAATAGATGCTGTAAACATAAGTATTGTTCTTAATCATCATAATATATAATGGCATTTTGCATTCCAGTACATTTTAAGTTGGTGGCTACCCTGCATTTTCTCCAAATATTCCCAAAATGACTTTTTAATTATAATTAACATTTAATAATAACATGTAAAAAATCCTCTCAATATGATTGCTTTTCGTTTTCTTTTAACCACTGGGCACTTCATTATTGGTGATATATAGGATCTCCTATGGTTTGTTATCCCCGAGCTTTGATGAAACATAAAAAATCATATCCAACTACAAATAATCGGAGATTCTTTTTATCCCGTGTTAAATACTTCACAACTAATGTTTTACACTAGTTTTATATTGGACTCCTCTTTGTTTTATAAATTTATTTATCCCGTGTATAAATACTCCTTTATCACATGGATATAACTCATTTGATATTTTTTGATATTCACACTTAAGTGCAGTTATGACGTCATAATTGTTATTGCGTTAGCCTGATGAAGTATAATAGCGTTGATTCCAATATAAAAACGGCTTAAAATATTGGTTGTGAAAAATTAAACATGGAATGAAAATAATCTCCCATGATTTGTCGTTGATTTAACTTTTATCCAAATCGATGTGTGTTTTTATCCCCTCGCCAAGGCTCAGAGATAAAATAAAACACGCAACTTGTTGGATAGACGAAGGGATAAAAACACACAAGGTGTTGGATAAAAATCATATTCAACTATGTGTACAAATCATGGGATATCTTACATATATTTGAAAATGAAGAAATTAAAGCAAAAAGTGTAAAAAAAAAAAAAAAAAATTATCTGATCAACTTCATTTCCTTTATGAGTTCTGTCGAAAATTATGACAAGCTATGGGCTAAATATTTATAATTTTGAAATTTTGAAATAAAAAAAAATCATTTGATTAAAGATATGAATAGACACACTTATTCATGGAGCATTTTGATTTAATGAGATACCAAATACCATTATCATTCTACATTTTTGATTTGGACTGAGATTGGCATGCTTTGTATTCTCCGCCTCGTCATGCATGTTGTCAGAACTTGATCAGTGATGAAAGTGATGGAAGCTGTTTCTTTATTTTATCAAATATATATTTTCTACAGTACTTTTGAAGTAACTCCTTTGCCTTTTTCTTTATAAAATTCTTGTGCTCGGTAAGTATCTATAGAAGATTTTTATAGATTTTTTATGAGTTTTCATAATATTAAGTATGCTTTTATCACTAAATTATGACAAATAATGACGTTTATTGGGACAACGAACAGTTTTCAAACTCAAAGTTCCATTAAACAATACAAATGTTAATAGACTTTTGAGAGAAGCGCTGACCTAAATAGATTACGTTTGAATTAGACATTAAAACCTGTATCATGTACGGAGGAACAGAATTGATGAAAGATAAGAAAAACCTGTTTAGTAGTCATAGCTATGGTGTTTGGGGCATGTGAAGGCCGGGAGTTAAGGACAGGTTGGTTGTCGTTTTCTTCAAGGCCAACTTATATTCGCATTGAACTTATCCATTACTTTCGTTTAAAAAAATGTCGAAATGAATATCTATATCGTAAAGGAGCTTCCGTACATTGCTCTAGTGAAAAATAAGATGACAACTGTAAAAGTCAGTATTTCCCGCAAAATTCCATAGGAGCAGAGCGAACGAACGTTTTGAATATCAGAGGTGGGATCCTTATTTAAATAAAAGTGTCAATTGGTATTTTAGTAAGCTAAATAGATCGGCATATTATTTTTTTAATGTAGAAATAGAATACAATGAAAGTTATGGAAATTCGATTTAGAATACAATCTACCAAATATGTCCATAATTGGTGCTATTCCTTTTTCTGTTCTGTTTGCTGATACCTGATGATCGGAAAGTTTTGAAAGACTGATTCATTGGGATTCCGGAAATTTCTACACCGCCACTAGTATCTGTAAAGTCATCAAACTCGTCACTATCAAAATCTCCTTCTTCCGGGCATGTCAATTCCTGCGATACCTTTAACTTCCGGACCAGGCTGTAGCGCTTTTTGGGTTTTGGTTTACTGTATACAACTTCCGGTTTATCTGTTTCAATATTATCTGTGGACGGTGTAGTTCCCCTACAATTCTGAGCTCTTGGGGGTAGAATGGGGCTGGTTGAGGTGTTATGCTCAAGGTCTTGATACCTTTCGCTATACGTAGAATGCTGGTTCTGGTTGGATGGCGTGACATAATCTTTAAAAAAATGAAATTTGTTTATAGAGAAAGTTTCCGTAATTGATTAATTTTCTGTAACTTTATTTTTATATTTTATTATATATAGATATCGCTTAGGTAATCATTTTCCATGTTTTAAATTCTAGTTGTGATTTACCCAATGCCTCGTTTTTCTTCTGTCTGCCTTTACTGATAAAAATAAAAAGAAACAAATTAAATATTGATATGAAAACTGAAGTCTTAAATTTTCAACATTCAACCGCAGTATTTTAATGTAAATATCATACGATTTTGTTTGGCAAACATTGACGATGTTTTTCCTATAAATGTTTTTAAAGGATGCAATTAAAGACTTACCAAACCTTACACAGGAAAAAAAGTCCAACACAACTACATGAAAGGATAACAAGAAGAAAAGAGGCTCCAGCAATGATCCATAGCTTATCCTTCAGGAAGTCCTCTATCTTTTTGTCAATACTGATATTGGTAAAGTTTGTATTTGTATCAGTACTGCTATTCTTCAAACTTGGAGTTTCTTCAGGGTTACTCTCTGTATTTAATTGTATGTAAAAAAGAGATGATTAAAAAATGAATACAATGCTGGCATACAAATGTTGGCCTGTTTTGAAATTATGCGAATATTTCATATTTCAGATTATCACAACATTGTAAATTTTATATAATTTTCACATTTCTAACTTATAAAAATATTTTGTCCCCTTGTAGAACATTATAGTGAAACTTTACAATTATGACTACAGTTGTTATTTCTATTCTATTTTGTAAAAAAAAAGCTGGTTTAGAACATCTGTATATAACTTCAGTATAGTATATAACATTTTTATCTGTGTTTGAACACATGACAGGTCACAGCTATAGACTCTACAAATCAGTGAATAAAGATCTTTACTACATGTAGTGCCTGGTTCCAAATTACCTGAACATATCCCTGTTGATCTGTTACAACTTTTTAAACATTTTATTGGACATTCTTTCTTACAGCCTTTCCCATAATAGCCTTCAGAACATGTTCTACTACAGTTGATTCCTTGTGTTCCAGAAGGACATTCTATAAAAGACGGTATATACTTCTGCCAATACTTTTTAAATGTATTGTCCTAGGATATCATCTCACTATTACTCCTCATGAACTAGACATAAGATGCAGACAATTTTTGATATACTTCTTGCTTATCGATTGATTTTTATTCAAGTAACAAAGGGCATAAAAATATAAAACGTAAAAGGATATGAAAAGGAAAAAAGATGTTTTTTTTTGCTTTCCTCTAAAACAGTTATGTATTTAAGTTAAACCGTGTGGTGGTTCATTAATTTTAGTTATTGTCCTTGATGTAGTTTATACAATGTATAGATAATTTTGCTTTATATATCTTAAATAAAAACAAAGAAGGAGACTGTGTTTTAGTTGATTTGATTCTTCATCACAGATTCATTTTCTATTCCATGAAAAATCTTTTTTTTTTCTTGTATTATTTGATAATTGATGAATGTTACCTGTACATAAATCCTTGTAGAGGAAATAACCAGGGCAGCATTTGCCAGAACTGAAAAATAACAGTAAAAGATTTATTAATACCTCCAGCTAAAAGCGTGAATTCCACCTACAAAAAAGGATTTCCTTACCCACACATGTTTGGATCGTTTGTGACAGCCAGATGGACGACACGTAGGATCAAAACAAAAAACAGAACGTCCATTTTCATCTTTTGTAATTAAAATTTATTTCAGTGACTGCTTCCTGGTTTATCCTAATTCACGACAGATTTATATTTTTAACAACCAGGAAAAATGTCCTTCCCTCTTTAGTTGATGCAATTGAAGTATTTATTACTATAGAATATTTCAAAAGTATATATCCTGAAAACATTAAATTGAAACATATATAATGTTTAAAAAAGATTTTGCAGTACAAAAACTATACCATATTTCACATGTACACTTCCTTCAAAAACATGTTCCGTATGAAATGAGTTTATTAAGTATACTTTGTCTAGTAATTATACGTAATAGTCTTTATTTATCCAGGATCAGACATTAAGTATTAAGCTATCTATAATTGCTGTTCTGCATTGAACCGTAATTTCAATCGAGTGTTGACATATGAAATTTAGCATTTTTAAATAAACACACAATATTAGAAATACAATCACATTTCATACAAAAAGACTACAAAATGATCTTGAGAGAAAAAAATGTAATTTAAATGTTGACAAATGAAATATATAGAGATAACGAACAGCATTTAAGACCAAAAGTCCACAAAACAATACAAAATAGGAGAGAGTAAACACAGACCTTTAAATCATCAGAGGTGGGGTGGAGGAGTGGGTATCCCTTTCCGACCGGTGTGCTCCTTGTCATGATCAGAAAAAACGAAAATATCCGTCGTCAAATGGACTAACAATTAGTATGAAAAACATCATTCAGCATTTGACTCAATGATAAATTGTAATATCTTCGATGTCATTGTATAGACCAAAGAACTCAAGGAGTAAAACTTGATAAGATTCATAGATTGAAAAAATACTCAGAATTGACGGTTATATGGGCCAAAAGACGAAAGGATAGTCAAAATTAAAATTTATGCTATAAAATAAATCGCTTTATATATTTCATCATTTGAATATGACAGTTCATGTGTTTCTTTTGTGTCATTACTGATTATTGATCATGTAGCACATTTAATTATTTCATGAATTGACTTAAGATTTTTATTATTATTATTTGTTTGTGTCCCTCGCAAAGTTGCTAAATCTCTGTGCGTTTCAAAGGGACATTGATTTTGAATCAATGCTTTGATTTTGGCAATATCTTGAATTTGAAAAATGCTATAGTACGACCCTCGATTAAGCGACAGAGACTTGACACCATTTTCGAAGATGAATTCTTAAATTACAGACCTGTTTTAATTTGCCATTTCTATCTAAAGTATAAGAAAAAGCGGTGGCATCCAGACTTGAAAAAGACCTAATCTTCATGACCACGAGCAGTCGGCCAACCGAAATAGTCACTTTACAGAAACTGCCCTTCTCCTGGTGCACCATGATATTACATCTGCATTAGATAAGAATTCATTGTTGATGTCGTAATGCTCCATCCCCTGGCTGTATTCGATTTAATTGTTCATAATATACTAATCAGTCGAATCGAATACGCGTTTGGTATCACAGAATCGCTGCTTTTATGAATAGAGTCTTATGTATCTGGTCGACGACAGCAAATTGCGGTAGGGTCGAAATTCTCGAGAGAGTTCCTACTCCAGTTTGGTGTACCACAGTGGTCTGTTCTAGAACGTCGTCTATATTGTATGTTTTAAAACCCATCGGAGACATTGCCGGAGACATAACATGTATTATCATTGTTATGCTGATGACACACAGGTTTAACTGATTATCAAATCGAAGGACAGTTGGGACAACATTGCGAATAGACTTGAACGGTGTCTGTCTGATTTACAAGACTGGATGCAAAACAACATCCTTAAGTTGAACCAGTATTAGACTGAACTCATCATCGTTACCCAAAAACGTATGGCAAATGAGTTTTCAGGACGTAAACTCACTCTTGGTTTGCTTTTCTTATTGTTTTTATTTCATATTTGCTCTTTATGGTTTCCATACTTATTATCCATTATCGATAGTGCAGTAGAAGTTCACCCAACCGAAAATGTCCAACAGGGGCTAACAAATACGATATCTTTGAAAAATGGTTCGGGTAATTGGGCGGAACGTGTAGAAAAAGTCATGAAATACCGCAAGTCTTAGAATTCCAGAGAAAACGTAAGACTTGGTTGAAATGAATGTTGGGCAAGACATAGGTAATTCTTCATGTGTTTGCAATTATGATTACGAGTGCTTATTTTTTCAAAAAACAATGCTAGTACATTCAAGTTTGTTTCGTCGATGCAATGGTGAAACTCACGTCAGACAGACGGTTGATAGGTAAATGTTAAGTTATATAAGATTTTTTATAGTTGATTTTATATAGAAATCCAATGAAAACTGTTACTTTCAGAAGCAAGGTTGGTTTTGTGACGTAAATGAGCAGTGCTGGTGGTGACAAGGCGATTATTACTGAACCTCTGAAATGTATTGAATAATCATCCAAAACAAATGGATATTTCATGTTTACCTTACTTACTAGTAGAATGGTACTGTCATCAAATGTTAGATACAGGAAGGAAAACGTCCAGTTTCCAAAATTTGTTCATTATTTTGTAATATATTTTGAACTCATTGGCAGTACTTACTAAAGACAATCATGAGGCGCAAAATAAATTGTTTAGTATTGCATGAATAGTAAGATTTGCAATCCTGTCAAATCTCGGAACGGAGATTTCAGTAGTTACCTTTATATATTAATATACGGTGATACGTCACTCTGTATCTGATGGTGCATCCATCTTAACAAACTAAATAGCAGAATTTCCTCCATTGTTCTGGTATTCTGGAAGCTTTTTATTATTTTTGTACAAACTCCAGCATATAATGACTATCGAGCAAATGTTGTGTTTACTTATATTCAAATTCCATTTAGAAATACCCTCCGTACAAAGTATTGTCTACAGTAGCTATGGTGATATAAAGTTGGGGGTGAATTGTGCTTAGTTAGTTCTATGGCACATATTTTAATCTGTTGATGTGTATAAAGTTCTGTCGAAAATATTAGATTCTGATTGTTCAACTTTCTGCAATCTCAAGACAATTCCTTAGTTGCAGATTGCGGTATGAATTACTCCATGTCTGGAAGAAACATTTAGTTTTTATATATTTCTTTCTGGACATCTAGTTGGAAAAATATTCCAATATTTCCTATATCACTTTAATTCAGCTACGATGAATTTAAGGTTTTGATTTCGAATTAACGTAATTGCCAAAGATTTCATACGCATCAGTATCGTCAAACGAAAAGTAATATTATTTAATGACGAAAACATTTCATTGTGTATCAAACTATTAAATTATTTTGATTTGTTCAGTTTTGATTTTTTTTTTGGCACTGAAATTATAGTCCAACAAGGATATTGTACCAACTGCAGGATTTGCGAAATTTTAAGTATAACCGAGACAGGTGATATCTTCAATCAACTGAGAGACATAAACTTCGTATGCAAGTGATAATTGTATAATGCAACATAAATATGATAATGACATGAGCAAACTTGACGTCATCATGTTTATCAGAATGTATTGATGTAAGCTGACGATCAATATTTTTTTTCTAATTATAGAACAAATGTGTAAGTCTCTAAAGTGGTCTTTTTCTAGGTGTATAAGAAATCAACGTGGAATTAAACGGAATATTTTGTATCACTAAAGCGTCATCGATATATTTAAAAATTACGTTGAATATTACACCAAAGGACTTCTTCTTTATATGTTTCTTTTATAAAATAGATTCTGCTAAATAGGAATACGAAAGGAAGTCTGCTACTATGACGGCACATTTCGAATACGTGGTTTTTCAACAGATAACATCAACATTGGAAAACGTATGTGTGTGTCCAGAATGTATTTTAATGAATCAGTTTTGCAGAGGACCAAGGCCATGATTTTATAAATTTTGTAAATTCATAAACTTAAAATGTTCTTTTCTATCGCGAAGAAGTTGTTTTTGATGTTTCGACTTTTAACAGGGAATGCCCATTCCTCTATGGTGTATGACCCCACTTCTGAATGTTTTGGAGGTCCGTCTTAGCTCTGCTCCTATTGAATTGTTTCATTGCTCTTCCTACATGTATTTCTTCTTTAATGTCCACATCCCATACCCCTAGGAAGACTGTTATGCTGCTGAAGATAAGCTTCAAATACTGACAGAAAAACCCTTTACACTTCCAGAAAAATGTAAAAGAAAGACTTATTTCGAAGACTGCTCATATACTAGTATAACAATCAAATTCTCATAATATATGATTTACTGCAAAACCATTCATATGATTTTATAATACCTGGACAATACTCTGTTGCGCTGTTACAATTGCGTACACATTCTAAAGGACACCTCTTCCTGCATTCTCTTCCATAATAGCCTTCATTACATTCCTCACCACAGTTGAATCCATATGTTCCAGGAGGACATTCTATAAATGATAATATAATGAAGTATATAGTTTTGCCACTTTCTTTCTACCATCTACTGAGTATTTGTAAGGTCCGTTTTACGGTTTAGATAGTAGAACTAAAGCGTATCGTGAGACAGAAACGCGCCTAAATATTAAAGTAAGATAACATAATTATTAAATGGACTTTAATTTTATGTGGCAAACAACTTAACACAAACTTACCTGTACATATATTGTCATTTAGAAAATAACCACTGCAGCAAGATCCAGAACTGAAAAAAAATTAGAATCTTTTATTGCTTTTTAACTAAGTGAAATATATGGCTATAACGAATAGTATTCAAGCTCAAACGTCCATGAAAAAACAAACGGACTTCCAAAACATAAGAAGTCGAATCAGGTGCCATGGAGGAGTGAGCATCTCCTGCCGACTGATCACATCCACCGTGTGCTACTTGTCATGATCAAGGAAAAACGGAAAAACCAGTCTACAATTCAGTGTGTTAAAATGCTAATTGCAGAAGTAAAACCTACAACGATTGTTTCTCTTACCCACACTTGTTTGGATCATTAGCTGTAGAGACATGGATGATATTTAGGAATGTAACAAAAGATAAAATATCCATTTTCCTTTCCGACACGTTTATTTCTTTTTACACTTCCTCGTTAGATTTTCATATTTCAAACAACCAGGAAAAATAACATTTTTCCTTATTTGGAAATTATTTTCTAATGAGGTAAGTTACACCAAAGTATATTTTATATGTGTTCGAAGTATCATTCTTGACATGTGAGTGAATCAATAAAAACCAAGTCACCTCTTATTTATTTTATTTAATATATGTTTTCAAATTTAGAACTTACATGAAATATTGCTGTTTTTCAAATAAAAATATTAGAGGCTAAGATTTTCTGTTCATTCATGCTTATCAAAGAATCAAGTATCAGGGTTTTTTTTAAAAACAACGACATTAAAGCGTCTGTATTAAGATCATTTCTGAATCATAAGAATGTGGTCACAGTTCTCTGAAGTTTTTGATAATATACCATTGTTCTGGCAATAATGGTTAGACCGAAACTGAACCATTTGGCGAAATGGTAATGCTACCAGTGACTCCTAAGTTACTTGTGGAAAATTATCACGCCAGTTTCTACGTAGTGGTATTTTTGTTACCAGTCAAGAAGCTGATTGGTAGTTTGTACCTACTCCCTACTGCAATTATCTCTAAAGTAAAGTTTGGCTTTAATTTAGTCTAGTTTAAAAAACTTATTTTTGTTGCTATTGTAAATATATCAGATCTGGTTCAAATGACTTTGCTTAAACCTGCATAGATTGCAAATATAGCATCAATAAATAAGGACAACTTACAAATCAAGGAAAGAAGACTAAGTTGTCTGCAACAGAAGTAAAGAGGGATGAACTTCCATATTTATCATATGCTGAATACGAGGATTGTCCAAAAAGTTCGTGGATAATGAAGTTTTTGTGAAAATAAATGGTTCTATATAAATCTGTTGTATATCAAAATATTTCTTATGAAAAAACAAGTCAGAATGATTTAGTTTTTGTTGATGGAACGTAATATTTTTGCAAAAATCGGGGTCTTTAGAGGTCGCAGATAGTGCGCACGGACCAAGGTTAAAATGATGTAAACTCTGATATAAACAGTTCGGATTAAAATGATTATTTTTTATATAAAACAAGTCAAAAATTATAAAAAAAAAAAATTTATGTAACACAAATTAAGAGGTTATTATCATTTTATGATATCTTAAATATCGCTTACTATATAGACAACGAAAATATACAAAGAAAACCTTAGCAAGTACGTGTCAAAACTCAACAGAAAAAGTGACGTCGCACGTCGGCACGGGGCAGCATCCGGTCAAAAAATTAAGTTTTATAACGGTTGAAGGGTCAAAATATTTGTTTAAACAACTCAAAATTATTGAAATATATTGAATGTATCGATTAGGGATTCGTAAATACGATTTTTCAACAGTGTGTACAAATTTGAAGTCACTACAAGAATTTAAAAACACATGTTATTAACTGTAAATGGAGATTTCTATACATGACGTTGTTATAAATCTAGCGCAGCGTCGGACTGGGCTGTTCAGTTTGGATATACAAACTGTTCATTTAGATGACCCTCGTAAATTTGTGTGCATTGTTTTGAATTTTAAAAATTAAATAAATTATAATATATCCTTAATGATTAATGCTAGCACTTCGAAGTGCGTTGCGCCTTAAAAAAGAAATGTAGTGTGAGCCATGAACATGCGTTAAATAAAAATCACATGTTTGACGTTATAATGAAATTAGCGTAACGTCAGACTGGTCCGTGCACACAATCTGCGATCTTTAAAGACCCCGATTTTTACAAAAATATTAAGTTTCATCAATAAAAGTTACATCATTCTCACTTATTTTTTCATGAGAAAATATTTTGATATAAAATAGATGTATATAGAACCATTTATTTTAATAAAAACGTCATTGTCCACGAACTTTTTGGACAATCCTCGTATACGTTTACTCTACAAAATAAATCTGCAATATTTCACCACTAGTGAATTATCGGTAAAGAAAACTTTTTGAGAAGATTTGCTAAAAATGGCAAAGATGAATATTTTAGGAAGAAAATACTGCTTAAACAGCCAGATTATTCCTTACAATTTTCAATGCTAACAAAGGGGATATATCAGTTCATTTTAATATAATATTTTTTTCAATCTCAAAAACCTTTTTAATGCTTTGCAAAAATATATTTCAGAGGAAGTTTAAAAAACATGTGGATACTTAAGAACTCCAAGGATTGAAAACTTTAAATTTAAGTCAATTGCATTCCAATTTCCAAAGTTTTCAATATTCTTTAACAATTATTCCTCACGATAAGTTAAGGTACAGGCTTTTGACATAAAAAAAACAGCTGCCTCTTATCAAGTTATTCTGACGTTTTGTCAACTAGCAATGGTTATTTCCAATACGTCGATTTGATATATCCCGGTGAGCTTCCGATAAAAAAAAAATCCACAGTGTCTGACACATCTATTTCATGTTTGAATATTTTATTTTTGATGGTAATCTAACAACAAAGCTCTGTGATAAACGTGATGACTTGATATGAAGCATAAGGTATTTTTGAAATCTACATAAACAAGGAATCACTTGACGCAGCCTTTAAAACTTTCAACATTTGGTAATATATCGACGACGTATTTCAAATAAATAAAAAAAACTCTTGACATTCCTATTTCGAAAAATATAATAATCCTTTTGAGCCCGTAAAACTGACAAATCTTTTTCCTATGCAATTCTATCTAGAATTTTTTTTCATTTAAACCTTACAACAAAGCTGTCTTGAAAATGCAATTGATCATTTGTTTGAAAGTTAACTGTCATTTTTCTTACTATCACAATGAGTATACGTATTGGTTGGCTGGTCAAAATCGATTGCCTCGCCTCCGTGGCCCATGATACTGCCTTTGGTGTCTCCGTGTTACTCAATTGCTGATCTTGTTAGTCTATTTCTGATCTCATTGTGTTAAAGGCCATTGGAGCTTTTTCACTGTTTGTTATATCCATTTTTCTTTCTACCTTTTGTGACACAGAAACTAGTTAAAAAAATCCAAATTATTTTAATTACAAATTAATTTGTTTAGTATTCTCCCTATTGATTATAGAGAATAAGCACATCAAAATTAAATACTCTCTTATTAAGTAAAATCTTACCAGTCATGTTTATAACAAATTTGATAGTCGTTAATTAAAAATCCATTTAAGATAATTTGAGCATAAGTATTCATACGGCGTTTATATATCTCTGTTGATTCGATAAGCAAGAACATGCTCTACGTATGAATAATTTCTAAAAAAGAGGTAGATTATTGACAAGCAAGTTTATGAAACAAGAATATCAACAGTTTCGTTTAAAATCAACATTTCGTAAGTTCTTTGGTCGATACAATGACATTGTCAGCAAATGCAATTATCATTGAGTCAAATGCTGATTGACGTTTTTCATACTAATTATTAGTCCATTATATATACACTGAATTGACGACTTATTTTTCAGTTATTTCCCGATCATGACAAAGAGCATACGGCAAGAATGCTCACTCCTCCATGGCACCTGTTCCCACCTGTTATGTTTCAGAGGTCCATGTTTGTTCTGCCTCTATTTCGTATTGTTTTATTGACTTTTATATTGCATACTGTTACTTATCTCCATATCCTTCAGAAGATGTCAATATACAGTTTATTAAGAAATTTCTAAATAAATTGTATGATTTGTGGAGAAAAAAGTGATAAATTTATTTCATCAAGTCTCTATAGTGAGAACTTTCCACTGACATGATTATGAATAAGAAAAGCGTCTATCAAGGATAGAAAGCATATACTATATGAACATAGCAAGAAGAATTAAGGCCCAGATGTCCCATTGAAATGCATCGAATTGGCAGCGGAAAAAAACATAAAAAACACAAATCTCTGAAACAATCAGATATGGATTACGCCCATTAAGGAGTAAGCATGTCCTGTGGACATCTTTTATTCACCAAGCGCTCTTTATCATGATCTGTCAAATAGAATATTTTCGTTTACCTGACGTGGCTACATCTTCACTTTACTGGTGCGTAGAAATTATTAGCAGGTGCGAATTTTATACAATAGATTCAGCATACCGATTACGTAAAAATGGAAGTAAAACAAAATTGACCTGTTCTTAGATTCCATGTTGTGCATGTTCCTGAACTTCTGGACAGTAAGAGGTTAATTTCAGGCTAGGGTTTGATCAATTTTTCCAACTTTTTCAGATCAATTTTAAATCTAGCTTATTTTTTGTGCGAGCTGTTTTACTGCTGATTTCAGGCGGTAGAAAAACATTTGTATAAATGATATAAAAATAATAATGTATTTATTAAAGTTAATATTTTTTTTTAATTTTTCTCTCAACCTAATGAATACTTATATAATTAAAATGCTTTTTAAAAAGATCTTTTTAAACATTTCTCTCAGAGGACGTGAAGCAAAAATTTTGACATAATTACGTATTGGAAATTAAAGAAATACATGACTGTTAAGTGAAAGTGTAAAAAAAAAAGTAACAATAAAGTAACTTTAGATCATGTTAAGCTTTATAGATAAACAAAAGCAATAATATTGTAAAAATACATAATATTATTGTTAAAATTAAAACATATGTTCATAGCTGGTTCACGTCTGTTTCTTGTCAGCTGTGGATATGAAGGTGTTGACAGAATGTTCTACACTGTTTATTACATCCGTTTCGTCATCAAATTCGTCGCTATCAAATACGTCTTCTCCATCTGACACATCCTGACATAGCAGTTCCAGAGACATGTCCGATTCCTGCTTTGTATTGTGGCACTTTTTCTTTTCTGGTTTACTGTAAACCACTCCTGACTCGTCTGTTGAGGTTTTGTCGGCGGACCAATTGGTTTCTCTATAATCCTGGGCATGAGATTGTAGAATTGAGCTGCTATGGTAGATTTGCATTTTCCTGTCATTTTCGTTCCTTTCGTTGTTTGAGGAAATCTGATTTTGGCTAGCGGAAATAGCATTATCTTAAATATAAAAAAAAAGAAGTTAACAAGTCTGCTCAGGCACTGATGATCTTAATTACTAAATTGTTTTTGGTGCTCTTCTGATTTGTGACAAAACCCTACAAAATATTTTTATCTGGTGCAATATATTTTCTTTCAGTTATTTTTTATCATAACATTTTTAATGAAACAAGAACCTTTACCAAATTGCCCCTTCTTTTTATGTCTCTCTTTACTGAAAAAGAAAAAAAATAGATCTATATTTATAAGATAAAATCCCATTTGTTTGAAATAGATATGGTAAGCAAATACGGAATTGCTAATCGATTAACCGCAAGACATTCCGACCGATTATCCTGTTAAATCGTATCAAAATGCACAGTTTTCGGCTTTTTCTCCCCAAGAACATTCTGACAATAAATTTTCAAACCACGAAAAACATTTCCTCTCTTGTATGATCTATACCAATAGAGAAAAAATGCTTTTCTGCAAGTCGTTCCATCTTTTACCATCAATTTTTTTTTTTAGAAATATTTTCTATATCCACAAAATATAAATTGTCTTAATCATATTTTTCCAGGATTATTTTTAAAAGGAAACAAGAATTTTCAGTGGATAAATCTGCAAATTTATAAAGAATTCTGAAATTCAGAATGTCACGAAAACTTGTCAAAATAACAAGATGCAAGAGGCAAAGTAGAAACATATGTTTAGATGCATGTATCAAGATGCACTGTGTAAAACTGTCTCTAATATGAACAGAAAATTGTATGATAGAAATTTTACCAGAGTAGGAAAGATCCCATACAAGTACAGCAAATAAGAACAAAGGCTGATGATGTTCCAATAACGACCAATAACCTTTCCACCGGGAATTTGTCTAGTTCTTTTACAAAACAAATTTAGATATAAATGTTAATGCTTTCCTTTATTTGAGTCTTATTTCAAAAGGTTTCTTTTTATCCTTGCAATGGTTGCTCTTCCGAAAATGTTTGTTCTGAATAGTCTTCAAATTCATGTTCATTAATTTACCTAAACATATCCCTGTTGTTTTATTGCAGCTGTCTTCACACATAGTCGGACATCTTTCTTTGCAATTTTTTCCATAATATCTCTCCGGACATTCTTCGCTACAATTTTTTCCGTAACTTCCAGGAAAACATTCTGTAAAAAATAATTCAATTAATTGCAATATCCTTGCTTTAATTGAATGTAAGAAAAAGGCCTTGGTCAATTCTATCTAGTCAGTTCTTCTGAGTAAAGAAAATTCACATTATTCTTTTCACATATAATTTTGGGGGAAAAAATTAAACAGAAAAGGCTAGTGGAAAATAAGTTTATATTATAGTCCTTTCAAAAATGGCAAGCAATCATTTAAAGTAAACATTTGGTTCCTTTTTGTTTATTGATTTCCTTTGAAAATTCAATCCTCAACGTGATAAGTATTCTAACTAGTATTCTGCCCTGAATTCTTTTATTTGTTAGGACGTAATATTTATATCGACATCTGACTACTTTGATTGATGTATATTGTAGGGCTCCCGTCAGATGCGACTGGTCGATAGGAGATGCTTACTCCTTCGTGGTACATGGTCACATTTCCTATTTTTTTAGAGGCTTTACCATGTTTACTATTTGTGCAGTAAAGGTTTTTGCAATTGTTCACTGTTCATTAGTTTTATATTTTTTACTTTATTTATGTTTTTTCCCATTTATACTTCACTTAACGATAAATTTCAAGGACATGGTGTTTTCTGGTTTATCACATTATACACTTGTCGGATCACGTGGTAAGGAACGTAATAAAAATGGCAGTGCTTTTTTATGCGACGTACCGTTATAAGTGCATCTATTGTTATTTTTATGTAATTTTAACTTGAAAGAACATATAATTACTCTCATTCATATACACTATCGATGATAATATACACATTTTGTCCTTATAGAAATTACACATTAAACAGTTGCACTGAAACACTAAATACTTACTCATTTTTTTTTAATTACCTGTACATTTGTTTTCTCGGAGAAAATATCCAGTACAGCATATTCCCGGTCTGTAAAACACATTATTGTTATTTTTACGTATAATATGTCTATGCTATTGTTTGAAACACTAATAAAACCAACAAAACTTGTTCGACTCACCCACACATGTTTGGGTCCTTTGTGACGGCAGTGTGCAAGACGTTTAGGAATATCACAAACGACACAAGGTCCATTTTCATTTACCTCAAATTAAATTTTAATGTATGTTTCCTTGTAAAGTCCTTTGAATGTATAACAATTATATATTGAAAATGACCAGGAAAAAAGGGCCCTTCCCTCATTAGTAAATATGTACCAGGTGTTTAATTTTTAGAAAGTTTTGATGTAAGGCATTACTCAATATATCAGAAACATATCAAATAATTAAATATTTTATACTAATAATGCAACATGTGGTTTTTTTTTTTTTTTTTTTTTTTTTTTTTTTTTTTTTTTACATCTCTCTTATTTCTCAAAGAACACTCAGGACATTCAAATGAGGTACACTTGCTTTTACACTTAAATTGATATGAAGTTTTAATAAAATTCCTTATGTGCAATATGCTTTTAACTTTTTATTTGCTCTATTAATGTATTTTTTCCTTTTTTAAAAAACATAATTAGAAATGGATTGAAAAAGTATTTATCATACCAATGTACAATTTATCTGAGGGTTCTACACGAAAAACGGACATTTGCAATTACAAGTTAAAAATGTGCATACATAATAATTAATATTTTTTTTAAATTTAAATTGCTTCAAAATTTCAATAAACTATTTCTTTATGATTTTTTTTATGTAAAACTTGTCTCATTAGGTTTCTATATAGTCCGATAATAAAGACATTTTAAAAAATCATTATGTTTTTTAAGTAAAAAAAATGCCATGTGACCATAACCAATACAAAACGTGCATATGGCATAAACTATTTTGTCAAAATAGCGATAACATTCAACTTCTCAATGAAATGGGTTTGCATTTTTTCTGCGATGTGTACTGATAAAGAACTACCAATAAGAATATGTTTCTTACCCTCCAGCTATAGGTACTTGTTCTTTTAAGAGAGGAGGTCAATCTATATTTCTCAAGATTTCCGTAACTTTAACTTGTAGAACATTTACGACTTCTTGCTATATCAACATTTCGAAAAGTCTTTGTTCAATAAAATATTCTTTTTAAATACAATATTTATTTTTTAGTGTTTCATATTGACAATTTTGAGGACAAACGAGACGTTCCTTAATAATAGATAATTTTTTCTAGGAGATTGTCATTGAAGTATTACTACTTAAATATGTCTACTCACAAAAATTGAGGAACCTTACCAGGCATTTCTGCAAGATAACAGGAGTACCGTAGTTTTTCTTATATAATCCTTTGGGGAAGAAAAATAATTTTCCAATTTCAGATGTTTAAGTGTTTGGATTTTTTAAAAAACATCTAGAAACTGGTTTAGAAATCAGAATATTAAGAAAATTTTAAATATTTTTCATACATTACGAAGATATACAAGACATATTTTGAGGAACGTTTCGTCTGACTTTAAAGTACAATTTTATATCATTAGACTTATACTTATAATGTTTATTGGATTCCGTGCTTGTCAAAGGAGCTCACGGTAGGCTTGGCTTTTCGGTAGGGTTTCTTACTTCTCCATATGGAGGCAAGTGATCCAACCACTGACTTTCAACTTGATACTCAGTGAAAAGCAAATCTATCGTTTTCTCCTTTTATACTCCTCCATGACAATTGATCCCACCTCTGATGATTCGGAGGTCCGTGTTTGCACTGCATTCTTTTTAGTATTGTTTTATGGACTTTTGAGCTTGAAGATATAATGTTTGTTATCTCCATATACTTTATGTTGATATTCTTTGTGAAAATAACACTTTAACTCTAAATATTACTTGTAAATCATTATTAAAGATTATGAAAACAAATTATATTTACATGTGATTTTCAATGGTCGTACAATGTTTGTGGCCAACGATATATCCAAGATAGTACATATTGTATAGTTGATGTTGAAACAACATTGACAGGAATTTTTTTTCGTATGCTCCTACACCTGTAAATTATGGAGAAAAATGCATAATCAAGCAATAAAATTAAAACCTATATTTTTGATTCAGTATTCGTAACTTCCTTATGGAAAATGCACTGAAAGCTACGTCAAATATTTCCTTTACAACGCAAGTGTGATTCCCGTGTGAAAGAATTATTAATAACATTTTAAAATTTATACAATATCAATGTATCATATGATATGATAATGAAATACACATAATGCACAGATACATATAGATAATTTAATTTTGTTTCTATTCTAGTCTCTCATTGGTTGATTTCCAAAAAGAAACGCAAGTTATTTCTTTATAACCTGGTTTGGTATGGGGACACACCCCCTTGACAACCAGCTGAATCATCTGTATCCATATGTATCCTCATTTCCAGCCCTTGGAATTCATGGGAAATTACAGATTTAATAAATGTACCTTTAACTTCAAAGAGTAGCTCGATTAAACCGCGTGTAAACAAACATCATGGCTGCTAGATCTGTGTATCAGTTATTACCTCCCCTTGTTTCATATCACTTTATTACTAGGGGGATGTATTATTGCATGAGCGGCAAATTTGAACTCATAAAAAGCAACACAATTTTACACCCACAGTTGCTTAACCGCCACGCGGATTATAAAAAAGCATAAACTGAACCCAACCAAGTTATAATCGAATAATTTGGCCAGGAATTAGAGTCATTCCTTAAATATTTATATCTGAATGTTTCAAAATAAATCTAATATGAAAAAAATCTTTTTATTCATTGTAGATCAATGATTGTGCTGCTATTTTGTAAGTTCACCGTGAAACGACAACTAAGGGTCAGACCCATCTGCTTCATATTTGGATGGTTATATGACGATAGACCATAAATAAGGTCAAACAACTTTTAAGTATATTGTATGACAAACATGAAGAACTCAGATTCTCCATCGTCAGTTCTCTGAATGGTGTAATATTTCACCATCACTCAAATCTGGGGTTATGTAGTTTTTAAGAACATTTGATCTTAGTTATTGTTCAATTCATGCATAAACAGAATTTTCCAAATAAACAATAAAAGGAAGAATTTATACTCTGAATTGGTGAAAATAATATACACAAACATTTTTAAATATTTTTTCCGTAATAAATTAAATATATACCATGAGTATGTCACGGAAAGAACTTTCAATTTCTATGCTCAGTATTAAAATTGTTTTACATATTTTAAATAATTTATTAAATTAACGTAAAGGAAACACATAATTTTAAAACTAACATATGGAAAATGCAAAAAAAAAATCTGGTGCTGGAATATAATTTCTGTACAGTTAAACTATACTTCAATTGTAAACGATGCAAAAAATTTAGTTTTACACCGTATTATCTTTTTCAAAAGTAAATGAACAATTTCTAGCAATGTGCATGAGTCTACTCCCAAACATTTCCATATGCTGTGTTTGCTCCATAATCTGCCTCTTCCTTCTCATCCAGGGACTGGAAGGTTTTGAAGGATTTTTCTTGGGGAAGTCCTGAAATTTTTACACTCCCCTTGGGAAGTCCTGAGATTTGTACACCACTTGTTGTGTCTGCACCAACACCAAAATCGTCACATACCTCCTCATCCTCAGAAACATCTGGACACAACGTCACTTCCTGTGACACCGATGACCTCCAGATAAAGCTGTAGCGCTTCTTTGTTGTAGGTTTACTGTATTCACAGGATTGATTGCTTTCCTTTGTATTTGATAATTGTTTGGTTAGTGTGCTTTTTACACTACAGTTGGTTCGAATGGATCCACTCGGGATGTTAGAGTAATCAGGTTCATGTCTCGAACTGTTTGATGACTGTGGTTTTTGATTTGTTGGATGAGTACCATCTAAAAACAAGAAAAAATGAAATTGAAATTGAAAACGAAATCCGTGTTTTATATAATTGAATACTGTTCGTTCTCTCCATATGTTTCATTGATAGTCAATTCCTATACAATTATCAAAAAACATTGTCGAAAGTCTATTTCTCTACAAATATAATTGTGTCAAACTAACGTGAACGTTAAAAAGCGCCTACTGTTGACTTGTGTTTAATTCAAGCAATAAAATATATTTATCCTTTATCCATTTTTGTTCATCGTGACAAGGAGCTTACGGAAGGTGTGTCCACTCGGAAGTGTATGCTCACTCCTCAATGGCACATGATCTCACCTCTGATGTTTTTGAGTTCCGGATTTGCTCTTCTACTATTTTGGTTGATGGGCTTCTGAGTTTGAATACTGTTTGTTATATCCATATATTTCATTACTATTGATGAATGTAAGAGATTATGCTAATATTTACCATTTGTTCTATTCATCTTGAAACATTTTCTGCAAAATGAGAGAGAAAAATATAATATTAAAATGAATCTTGAAATATTTACAAATTGAATTATTGAGTTAAATTTAATATATTTATCTTCCAACTGTAATTAAAAAAAAATTATTTTTAATCGTTCAATTTTCATATTAAAACATTCATATTTCAATCATTCATGATGATAACAGGGATGATAAAATTTGGAAAAAAAACATTAAAAGACGTTCTACAAAGTTTACACAACAAAAATGAATTTATACGTACAGGGCTTGAGAGAGGTGAATTAAGCCAATAGAACCACACAAAATGAGCAGTAAAAGAAAGGTCACCCCTCCTATAAGCCACGCGTTCTTCTTCAGAAAGTGCTCTATCTGCGTCTCAATGCTGTTGTTCTGGGTGTTGTTATCTACTACAAATAGATATCCTATTTTATCAGAAAAGTCACAAGGCCGTAACTGCTATTGAGGCAAGTGAGGCAAATGCCTCACTAATTTTGTAGAGGTTTCTGAAAAGTGAGTAAAGTTTTACATTTAACTTATGAATTATGTGCGTCTTCATGCCAAATTAATATTTTCAAATTTTGTTTCAATTTTGTAAATTGTTAATCTCATCAGGTGTCTCGTTTTCATTTAGAATGCATCATTGTGAAATGTGATTCAAAATGTTTGTTTTGTAAATTGTTTGATTGTTTTACATCCCTTCTAAGAATACTAGTATTCCATTCATATTGAGACACCACTACTTGCCGGTGGAGAGTTAAATCTGTACTGGGCTTTCAGGGTCACTGAAGATGATTGAACAGTGAGACATCTTTTTGTGCCATCACTTACTGTGATATAGGACCTCGGTTTCTACGGTCTCATCCAAAGGACCAGTTTCCACATCTTGCAGTGGAATTCGAATCCATAATGTAAGGATCAACTCCTTAGTCTGCGACTCTAGAGCATACCTCAACCACTGTGCCATGCGGGTGACAGTTTAAAACGTAAAAACCTTCTAAAATTTTTTATCTTTTATTTATATTCTAATACCAAGGTGTAAGGATCCCCTGTAACCCCCGTCACTACCCATCAGGTATAACCCTTGCCCCGTCTAGGACAAGGAGTGCCCAACACCCTTGCCTCACTAAAAATTTGAGCCTAGTTACGGCCTTGAAAGATGGAGATAAAGAAAAGCATTCAAGATCAAACGTCCATATTTCTTTTTTTTTTTTTTTTTGACAAGAAAGATGTTTAATTCAGTGTGAAAGTAATGATCAAGCTTGCATTTTTAACATAATGAAATATTTTGCATTATCTTTATTAACGAGAAGAACAACACAATTGCTTTATTAATTAAAGGCTTAAATATCTCCTAACTTCCATTGACTACAAAACATGCGAAGAAAGGTTTTTAAAATTCGAACTGATAATTGATACACTTACGTGGACATCTTCCCGTGACCTCATTACAGTTGTTCTTACATTCAAATGGACAATCATTCCTGCAAAGCTCTCCATAAAACCCAGTAGGACACGCTTGACTGCAGTTTTCCCCAATTTGACCAGACCTGCACACTGAAAAAACACTGTCGTTTACTTTAGATTCCGTTAAATATAAGAGGGATTAATTACCGTGTAATGTCGCGAAAAGTACCGATCGTGAAATAGAATTACTAGTATGCTTTAATTTTAATGTTTCTGTCCATTTAAAATCTCTAAATCAATTGTTCACTCGCGAATTATTGTTCTCACAATTTCATGTTTAAGACCCGTTTGCAATATTAAGTACTTGCGTAAGAGAGGAAATCTAAATTATTGAAGATACAAACCCTTCAATATATAATGGATTAGAAAAAATATATACCTGTACATATCTCATTATGAAGAAAATAGCCCGCACAACACCGCATTCTGCAATTAAAGCAGATCTTATTCATTTGTAAGATCCGTTTATCTTTTCTGAATATATAAAAGAGAGACAAAAAAGACAAACAAACTAGCAGTTTTGTCTTTCAGGTCTTACCCACACATGTTAGGATCCGGGGTGGCAGATGACACATAAATTTTAATGAAGCTTGGGAGAAGTATAAGAACAATTCCATCCATTTTCCCCACAATATACCAAGTAAACATGCACAGTTCCTGTTGTTTTATTTCATATATGAACATTTTTGATATAAAGCAAACAGGAAGAATACGCGGAAAAATGAGCTTTGTTTTTTTTTTTTTTTTTTTTTTTTTTTTTTTGTTAAATTCAAAAAAAAATGTTGGATTGAAGAAATTGTTTAACATTTATTTGATGGCATTTGAAAATCTTGGTAATTCCAGAGCTAACCCAGAAAGTGAGAATAGATATTTTGTCTACTTTGGTCAACTGATGATATATCAGGCTCAAAACAAAATGTAAATGAATTCAAAATTCCATCCTTTATTCTAGAAGTTGTGTAATTCAGATGTACATTATTAAAAAAAATCGAAAGAGTTTTCAGAAAATTTATATCGACATTTTCCTTTAAGTTAAAAATATCGACTTTTATACAAATCGCCCGAAATATGGCTGAAATTTTGCCGACTCGGCGTTAAACAAAAATGATCAATCAATCGACTTTTACGCACTTAATATGACTGTTTCTCAAGATAAATAAAAAATGAGCTTTTTAATTTGACATCAAATTCAACTGTTCCTTCTGTAAAAATTGAACTCGGAAGGAAAATTTGCTATCCTTTGTTTTTATTTTCATCAAGAAAACCCTTTTATAAAAAAAAAATCATTCTGATTATACACATAAGTACTCTGAAAGTGATTTTTAAAAGATGCTAGATTTCCTTTTTGGCAAAATTTATGTACTATTCCGGGAACTGATCATTCAAAAAGACTATTGGAAATCGAATGGGCACAAATGTTGATGGTTATTTTGACCATCTTTTGATGTTAAATCGGAATTTGAAAAAAGAGAACATACACTGAAAAAAAATTACTGAAAGTCACTGGGAAGACAAGTAAATTTACTGTCCATACAATCACTACCTCAAAAGTAGTTTTACTGGGAATTGGGTAGATTTACTAGATAACATTAGTAAATCTAAGAATTATAAGTAACTTTCACTAGGTATTTAAGTATCTTTACGACCACTACTCCACTTTTCACTATTTTACTAGTAAACAGAGTGATTACTAATCACGAAGAACGCTTTACTAGGCACACTAGTTAAATCAACTAAGTATTTCTTTCAGTGTAGGAAAAAGAAAGCACAAGCTTTATGAAGCATTCAAATTGGCATTTAGATAAACCGATGATGTATTATAAATAAAGAAAAGTTACATCCCTTTTTATGCCAAAGAGTATTCCATTGAAATCATATTTAGATATTTTTGAGAAAAATACGTTAACGGTTATCAAAGAACCAAACTTTATGATAAACGTCGTAATTCATTTTCTTTAATTGTCAACTTTCTTTGAAAAAAGGAATAAACCCTCACACCAGCATATGATTTGGTCTTCCAGTAGACTCGATACACAATATCCTGCTCTACGTAAGAACAATTTCTAAAGCAAGATTCAATTTTGACAATCAAGTTGATGAAACAAACGTTTGCAATTATCTTTTAGCAAGTTCTCTTGTCGACATAATGGCCTTATCATTGCCTATCGAAAGCTCATCAATTACATTTTTCTTGTAAAGTGTTATGCCATCATTAACACGCAAAATTTCTTACGTATATTTCATTTAACTCACCATTACAAGGAGCACAAGTGGATGTGCCCGGCCGATAGGATATGCTTACTCCTTCACTGTACTTGATGTGATATTTTATAGCTCCAAGGAACCTCCATTTTTTTTTTTTTTGGAGAGTTGTGTTTGCTCTTCAATCGATTTGATTGTTTCAAACGATTCTGGGTGATTGGTTGTGGTCATTTTAGACTTTATTGATCTTCTTTAGAAGAAGAGTTACACATAAAGATTTACAAAAAAAGATCAAAATTTAAAACTGAAATGTACGAATTTTTTTGACAATGCTCAAGATTTCACATCTTAGAAATCAAGGTATAACTGATGGTTTTTTATACGTATTCCTTATAAGTCAATGTTCACATCACATGATATTTATTGTGTATTTCTCAGTGATCGGAGGTTGTTCTTGAGATGAAGCCAAATGAAGCTGAATGCGTTGTATGACTTGTCCGTCCATGCTACTTTACTCAAAGTCCATTCTTAATAAGGCATCCTACAGTGAGTGTAGTGGTTGAAGGCTATCCCATATACTGTCCGTCCTGAATAAGGCATCCTACAGTATATGCGGTAGTCCGAGGACGACTAGGCTCTTGTGTCAGGGTAGAACTCTCAGTTAATTGTTGCAAGCCTCTGATTATTATAGTAATTTTAAACATTTGATCTAATGGTTTTCGAGGTTTCTGTTTCCATTGCTCTCAACTTGTATCATTTAAATGGACTTGTATACTTTATCTTAAGATTATACCTCTCATATTTATTCTTATTGCATTTTCCTATTAAATATATTTTAATTCTTAGACAAAGTCTCTGACATGAAGACATTTAGAACAATTTCTTGAATTGTTCTGGCACATAATGTTTAGTAATTGATCTGATTCCTTGCTGTAAATGCCTGAAAGGAATTTTGAAGCTGAAGATCCATTTATACAACGTCTAAATATTGCTCGCTTTGCTCATGGGCTTCTGGTAAGTAATTAAAATCGTTTCCTATCGTATGACGTTTCTGTGCCGATTCCACACTCAATCTTGTATTCAAAGCTATTCTGCCCTGTCCTACTTTGTAGTCAGCAGATGTAAACGATGGTTTATTAGCGATCTTTTTATCTGTAAGAGTTCATACTTAGCTATTTACTGTTATCAAAGAGACTATTATATCGTGTCTTATATCACGAAATGAAATGTTAAAATTTCGGTCCATACCCTTCAAAATTCTTTTTCCAATCAATCTAACTTTATAAATGGTGTAGCTGAAAAAGAAAAAAAGAAACACACCATTGATTCATGAAGATAATCTTACAAACCACAAAGGAACTATATAGAGTTTAATGTATGATCATGAGGATATGAGAAGAAAAAAACAAAATCATAGAAAACAATGTAGGCTTTTTTTTACAGACATTCTAAGTTTAAATGTATAGAAATAGAATTAGTTATTAGATCAACCTGGTCATTACAAAGATTCCAAATACTGAGATGGTAATGATGATCTGCAGGGCGAACAGTCCAGACAAATAAGTCAAACTGTTGTTCCAATCCTCCACAGTTATAACTGCGTTAGGCCTTCAGAAAAAAAAACAAACTCAACAAAAACAAATTCCCTTTTAAAGCGGAGTAACAACAAGATTTCTTTTCCTAATCATTTGAGAGTTTACTTTTTAATACATTTATCCAATACATACCTTGTTTTTATAACTTCAATTGATTCAGTTTTCATTTTCTGTTTAATATCTGGACAAAGATCATGAAAGAAAATAATATATAAAAATATGATTTTATTTTCTATATTTTATTTCTTTAATTTATTCTAATTATTGTAAAATAAAAACAATGCGGTTAGGATAAGTGTATCTCAGAGAAGTGTGAGGAATTATTTATTTATTTCATTTCATGGATGCTTTTATATTTGTATTATTTATTACACAAAAGATTGTATTCGTATGGATTTGTGATAACAATTCCAGTAAAGCTAATTAACATGTATTTTCATACCTAGACATGTTCCGTTAACTTTGTTACATTTCCCCATACACTCCTGTGGACACTCCTGCCTGCACTGTCTTCCATAAAATCCCTCAGGACAAATTTCAGTACAGTTTATACCAACTGTTCCTTCATAACATTCTGAAAAGAAGCATTATTTCCTTATTCCTGTTTTTTTTTCATGCAATTATGGTAAAAGGAAGAGATTTTTTTTTTCATTTTAATTCCTTCAAAAAATGATTTGTCCCAATTTTAAAAGAAAGGTTTTATTTTATCATGACCTTATAAAAAATGATATAAAAAATTAAATGTCCATGAAATTAAAAAAAAACTCACCTACAGAATCAAAATTTCACTAATCTATTGGTAAAATTTCATGAACCGCTCACGTGCAAAGAAAACAATCAATCAAAATATTAGGACATCAATTTCATCTAATCAGTTTATTGTCTGTTGTCTATTTTATTTTATTTTATTTATACATTATTTATTTCTTTGATAGATATCTTGATAGGATTTGCATGCTCATGCAGTTGATATTTACACTAGTACCTGTACATCTGTCTCTATAGAGAAAAAATCCAGCACAACAATTGTTTCTAAAAGTAAATCAAAATTTTCATTTTGTTTTTCTCAAAAAATTTTAAGCTAATTCTTATACATGTAATAACATTCATAGACATCCTTATGGAGTTCTGATCAAGCCACTTTTAGAAATTAAAAATATTCATTTCTAAAAAGAAACTGAAGAGTTTTCTCAATTTGTACCCTTGTTATAATTTTGATAAAATTCTTCATTAATTAGATCTAGTATATGAAAGATTCCTATCAAATTTGAGAAATATATTCCTTTAATGATATGAAAAGAATTCAAAAAATCTACTAGATCTTGACCTTATGTGTCAGATTTATAACTTATAACAATAGAACATTGAAGAATATAGATAGATTAATTGTACACCACAAAAATATAGTTATTTCCACGATTTGATTATTATTTTCATATAAAAATACCATCCACCTGCTCTTTAAAAGCCATATTTGAATCAAGTATACTTTCAAAAATAATTTTTATTTCCGTATGTACAAAAAATAGAATTGAAAAAGAACTTGAACGCAGAGGAATGAAATTTATTGATTTCATTAAAAAAAATTCTATAGTAAATCACTTTAATATATAATACTTTGTCTCAATATGATTCATTATAACTCTATCAATTTTTAAAAATTCTTTTATACAAGAACTTATTCATTTTTTTTTTCAAAATAAAAACACTTGGTGTTCCATTTAACTCGATATTTCAATATATTTCAGAAGTAGCTTTCAATGTCGACATGTTTTGTCCTGGTAAACTAGAAATTTGACATTAACATAGTAAGCCATGTTAGAATAAGATTTTTTTTTTACTGTAAAACGAAAATGGCTAGCTTGTCAACTTCTTCAAATCATAAAAAATTATTTATATTTATATCAATACTGTAAATCACTTTTTATTCCCGAGAACGTTATTTTCGCGTATTTTAGTCTTTCTTATGATTATACAGAGCAATAACCACAAAATGTTCAAAATTTTGTCTCGCTTATTAAGAATCAATGCTTGTATTGGGAGAATAAGGTGTTTTGAAAAGTGATCTACTGTGTAAGGTAGAATTTAACATTTTGAGCAATAATTCTTGACTTGAACTTGTCAAAACTCTTTGGTTTGAAAACGTCAAAACTCTTATTTTACACCATGAAGAAGATTTATCGTGGCAATGACATTTGGAGATAACGCCAAGCTCAAAAGACCATCCAAAAAATACAAATTGGGATCAGAGTAAAACAAACCTCCTCAACATGCCATGAAAATGTATGTATTCCCTGATTTACAAATCCCTTCTTAGCAAAGCAGCAATGAATAAATATTACATGTATTAGTATGATAGATTGAGTAGAATTACTATTTTCGGAAAAAATTATGTTTCTCTTTAAAATAATTACACACTGTAGCAATAAACCCTATATACTAAAGGATTATTGTTACCTGCTTTGTTAAAATGGATAATTTTATTGACTAGGTATAGTCAATTAACAATGAAAACTTCCATTCATATCTTGCCTGGATATATCCTAATGAGCTTTAAACAAAAGATACAACAGATTTCGACAGATTAGTTTCGTATTATGATGTTTCATTAGCAAAAGACGTTTTAAATTTAAATTCTAAGTTGACAACTTCCTTTACTTCTGTTGTATATAACCTTATCAGATGCAAACTGCTTTATATATTCTATTACAAAAGATCATGCTCTATGTTTTAACTATTTAAAAGAAAGCAATCTATTGAATGTGTAAATTCTAAATTTCTACGTATGGTGATTTTGTCAGCAAATACAATCTTTCATTAAGTAAAATGCTGATTGACATTTTTTCAACTAACAACTGTTAGGCTGTCATTTTCACTCTGAAGTGTCAACGAATTTTCTTGGTTTTTTGTTGTTTTTTTTTTTTACACGACAGGTGTGACCGTCTGCAGGGGATGCTCACTTATCCATAGCGCTAAACGCCCCTTCGAGTTTTTTAGAAGTCAGTGTTTGCTCTGCCCCAGGCTTGTAGTGTTCAAATGGATTTCTGATATTGAATATTAGATTGATTGATTAATTGTATATTGTTTAACGTCCCTCTTGAGATTTTTTCACTCACATGGAGACGTCACCGTATGCCGTTGAAGGGCTTCAAATTTTGACCTTTTCTCGGCACTCAGGGCCATTGAGAAGTGAGGGATCTTTTTCTTGCCAACACCTGCTGCTTTCACGGGGTCTCGGTTTTATGGTCTCATCCGAAGGACCCGCAACTTTCACTTCAAAGTGCCGAGCGCATGGCCAAGGAACAGTTGCTACCCATTTTTTATAGACTTAGGTCAGTCGCGGCCGAGATACGAACTCACGACCTCCTGTTCACGAAGCGAGTATTGAATATTAGGCGTTATCTCTTTTTCCCTTTTTATTTTAGCTTAAAATTTGATTATGTAGTACAGTAAATGAAATGAATTTGCAGTAAATTTATTTCTTTGAGAAAACTTTCAACCTTGAGATAAATCTTCAAAATAGTACTTTCAATGTTTATTTTATTATATTAACATTCCTTTGCTTAGCATTTTTTGTGTTTTCAGTTGTTCGATAAGTTTATCAAAATTCACAAACTAAGAAATCAAATTATGTTTGAATAAGTTATTTTATTATATTAACATTCCTTTGCTTAGCATTTTTTGTGTTTTCAGTTGTTCGATAAGTTTATCAAAATTCACAAACTAAGAAATCAAATTATGTTTGAATAAGTATATCTTCATTGAAATACGTATTAAAAGAGACTTTCTATTCCAGAGAAGTATTTTAAATGTTCTGCAGAATATAACCTACCCGCAGTGATTAGGATCCAGAGTAATCGATGTCAGATTGTTGTTGTTAAGAATTGCAGTAGTAAAAACAAATTCCATTTTGAAATTTGTACAAATGGTGTCCCTTTTTGGAACTCTATACTTACAAACAGGAATGATTTTTAAAGAGGTTATGTCCTCCTATAGATAGCATCCGCTTAATAAAAAAAATAGAATATTTTTTTTAAATATAGAAATATTGTACAGGATTAAACACTTATATCTGAAGAACACTTTAATGTAAATCAAAGTGGATTCTGAAATTATCGAAAGAGTTTTTATAATTTTTAATTCTTTTACATGTTTGAATACTCACAGTATTTATAACATAAGGAATAATTTCTTAATTGAAAATATAAAATTTACAGTCAATTTTGAAGATCGGGTATTTCAGCAATCTGTCAAAATTGACAAATTAATGCATGGATTGAACAGCAAGCATAAATGTCTATGATCGTTCTCCCTGTCGGTCTTTAATTGAGTAATATTTGTGTACCTTTTTACAAAGACCTAAATGTTTGTTCTTAGCTCGATTTAAAAAATTCAGTTCAACATTCAAATATATCGGAGAGTAATATAATATTATTTATAGTACATGTATGAAGAAGTATTATCAATTTACAATAGAAACATCCATCCGACTCAATATATCCTTGTGAACTTAAAGATTAAACTAGAGATACTATAAACAATAAGTTCAATAAATGATATTGTACCACTACTTTTATTTGGTTATAATGGCAAAGTCCATTTGTCCTCTAGAAGAGGCAAAATAAGTGTCAGATCAAAATGTAAAAAACAGGTGGTCAAAATTGAATTATGTAATAAAGAATCAGTGAAAGTTATAATCATTACATTTTATTCAGAGGTGTAGGAGGTACAGAGAAGATATGGATATCCTTCAATATACAGAAAGAATGAACGTGTCCATGTTTTGCTCTTGAAAACCCAAGGTATATTTGTACTCCAAAGCGTAACAGAGGGACGGACGGACAGCCGTCAAGACAGACATATGTATGGACGGACGGATGGACAACCCGAATACTATATACCCCCCGCTTTTCAAACGGATGGCTTAAAATTTCACAAAATCTGACCAGTATATTAATTCAACTTTTATATATTTTAATAGAACATGTTAGTGATAAATTAACAAAAAATCAAAACATAATTTTAGAAAACGCGACATAACTACAACTATTGTCCTGCAGAACACATACTACTGGTGACGTAAGTATTGATAATGAAGAACTCTAATTGCTTATTTTAAAAAGGATAAAAATGTAGGGAATCTTTATTTTAAAACTAGCGTCTTAATTTTGTTATTTTACGATTGTGTCAAGGAGCAAGAAACAGGTGTAACTGGCCGGCAGGGGATGGTAGCTATTCCATGACCCCTGATCCCATCTCTAATGTTTGCTCTCCGTCTTCTTCTCTTTTTTGTGAAGCGTGAATTATGCTCGTTTTCTCCATATTCTCATACTTCTTGAATTATTAAGAAGATGACATCAAGTGCCCGAATGAAATACTTTCATAGAAATCATTTTGAAAAAATTCAGTTTGAATCAATTTTAAACTTCTAAATCAAAGATCGAGCATTTTTATTCTTCATCATTCAATAAAACTGCCTCCCTACGTAATATTTCAACAGTATATATTTTTTTCCAGTTGTTTTTCTCTGTAAGATATTACAAGACTTCTGTATACTGTCCACTGCGTTCTGTGGCCATAGGAGTCAGGTACTGCCCAGTAGAGGAAGTCAAATGCTGGCCAGTAGAAGGGGTCAAATACTCTGACTGGTTCTGTAATGTAAGGCCTGTATATGTTGATGATTTCTCTTTCTTAGAAACGCCAGCATGGTCTGACTGGTAAACAGCCTGATAATCTGCAGATAATAACATACTTAAAAATATACTGTATAAGAGTTATATTTACAACAACAACATGAATGGTAAACTTAAAGAAATAACGAAAGGATGCTCCAATATGTACCTCTCTGGGAAGTTTTCCTGTTGTATTTCGTTGAGAGGAAAGTTGTATAGCTACATTAATAATATAAAAATCTTCTTATTGACAATTCAATTCATTATTTGTATTTATTACATACATAGTTATAAATACAGAATTTTTGCATATGTGATATGCCTAACATCATAATAGTCGTATCGACTGATATGGATCTGCGTGGCTGATACGGATCAATATTATATAAGAGGATTATTTTCGTAGTTTTCATTGGCTGAAAGGACGTCACATGACATTCCTCCTTTCGCGATAGCGACGCGAAAGCGCGTCCGCAGAAAATGATATCGCACGACACGCCGTTCGGTTGCACTGAAGTTACGTAGAACGTGACGTCATAATAAAAAAAACGTGAATCTAACCATTGTGACGTAATTACAGCCAAGTCCGTTGTGTTAGGACTGTGTCGGTGCATTCAATTTGAGTGATTATATAATATAAATATTATGGACTTCAGTGAACGGTCAATATGTGGTTATAAGGACTCATGGCAATTGATATTGACCTCAGACACAGAAAATGATAGCGACCTCGCAGGCTCGGTCGCTATCACTTTCTGTGTCTTCGGTCAATATCAATTGCCATGAGTCCTTATAACCACATATCGACCTACACTGAAGTCCATAATTGTATAATATTACACCCCTAGTAAGTGAAACCTTTACAAAACAGTATCTTGTGATAATACACACATAATTTTGTGTTCACATTCTCATAATTTTTAAATTATTGGTCTTTGAAACAATAAGCTACATATTGTCAGTAGGTAGTGCTTGATTATATATTTGTATTTTTGTCAAGTTAAAGTGTGCTGTACATTATTACTAAGTATGTTATAAACATTATAAAACATCTCGTACCTTTTCTACATCATATCCTGTAAGCACTCGACCAATATCAGCCCTCGGGCCTTCGACCCCCTGACTGATATTGTTGTCTCGGGCTGATATAGGACGTGGCATGGAAAAGGGGTATGTATTATTCTCTATGTATTCCTTCTTTTGTGAATCTATGTCAACATTTCTTGATATAAAATTAAAAAAGAAAGTTTGATTTGTACATACGCTTTTATTGAGCTCAAAAGTCTGTTTGAACTGTACAAAAGAGAGAGAATATACGCACCTGGTAACAACAAGTAACAGAAGAACCGCTATTACAACCACTATATGTGATGCCAGAAGTCCCAGAATAAAACTTGTAATGTTGCTTAACTTCTTATCTACGTCACTGCTGTAAAAAAGAAAGACGGATATAGCTGTTTAAGGTCAAGATCTAGTAAATGAAAGATGCCTACAGATTTATCAAATTTGAGAAACAAATTCCTTTAATGATGCTTTATAAATAAAGATTGGCTAAATAAGGTGTTTCGGGTCATAATTTGTAGGTAAACAAGGTGAAGAACCATATTTTAAACAGTCATTTTCAATATAAAATTAAGAAAACCGATCATGAATATGGTTTTTTTTTTCATATTCGACAAAGGAAATTTATCCAGATTGCCTACAGTGTCTCAGAAAACGGTAATTTGTATGTTCACGGTCTCTTCTTTAAAATAATGTCAAATTTAATATGGGTATCCAGATTACTTTTCATATAATTTCAAATTGAATGCCATGAAAATACTCTTTTTTCTACATAATTCTGCTACAGCCGTAAAGTACGGAAAGAAAGTTGAAATTGATTATGACGTCATCATGGATCTAGCACCACAAAATCAGTCTAAAGTCATTTACTAGATCTTGACCTTAATTACGTCTCTACTTCAAAATTTAAGTCTTAGAAACTAGATTCTTTAAGTTGTACTAATTTAACATATGTTTTTCCTATCTTTAATGTATTTGCAATGTTATGGATTCTAAAAATAAACTTTTATAAAACTATTACATAACATTTTTCTTATTGCTAACCTTCTCTTTCACACATTTGCAATGAGGGCTAGAGAGGGATAAAATATTATTTGATTACATTTAAAATAACTTTATCTGGTCACAAAAGCTTACATATTATACTTCTGAATCCGTTGACCTGTTGGAAACGTCGATGTATTTTCCTCGTACGCCTCTTCTGATTAAGAAAGCATGTAGTTAATTCGAATATGTAAAAATAAAAATGGTATGAGGCAAATTACGTATGAAAGGAATTAAAGTTTTACGCATTAATAATGCAAAAAAAAAAAACAATTACGCTATTAGCAGCTTTAAAATTCTACTTAAATTTACATGTACATGTACATCATGTAATACTATGGTAAACCTTTCTTAGTTATCAAACAGAAAAACTTTCCCTACCGAATCATTATTTTTTATGCGCCCGTATCGACAAATCAGAGGCGTATATTGTTTTTGTCCTGTCTGTTTGTTTGTTTGTCTGCAAACTTTAACCTTCGTCATAACTTTTGAACCATGAAAGATAGAGACTTAACATTTGGTATCCTTACTACACTAGTTAAATTCTTACAATGATACCAAGGTCATTGACTTTGTGACCTTGACTGTGACCTATATGCTAAAAATAACGTCTTTGTCTGCAAAATTTAACCCTCGTCATAACTTTTACGCCTTGAAAGATGGAGACTTTATATTTGGTATGCATACTGCACTTATTAAGCTCTTACAAATGACAGACAGGTCATTGACCTTGTGACCTTGACTGTGGCCTATGCTCGCTGTCATAAACTTTTGAGAATTCTCAAAAAAAAATTCTAAACTCAACTTTTGAGAATTACTCATCTGAGAATTTGAGAATAAAAGAGTTTAAGGAGTTTTATTTTGCTCAACTTTTTTATGACGGTCACTGAGTCTGAGATTTTGGATTTGAGAAAATTCTCAGACTTGCGTATGTTTTATAACGGCGGACTCTATATGCTAAAATTGCTTTTTAGAACCTTCACCATAACTTCTGAATCATAAGAGATAGATACTTCATGTGCTGGTATGCATACTCCACTAATTTAGTTCTTTAAAATCACATCAAGGACAATGACCTTGTGTCCTTGACTGTGACCTATTTGCTAAAAATAGCTTTTCCGTACCTTCGCCATAACTTTTGAATCATAAGAGATAGAGACTTTATATTTGGTATGCATACTCCACTAATTAAGTTCTTTAAGATAATTTAAAGTTCAATAACCATGTGACCTTGACTGTGATTTATATGCTAAAATAACTTTTCAGTACCTTCGCCATAACTCTTGAATCATAAGAGATAGAGACTTTATATTTGGTTGCATACTCCACTAATTAAGTTATTTCAGATAACACCAAGTTCGTTAACTTAATGACCTTGACTGTGACCTATATGCTTAAATAGCTTTTTTAAAACTTTGTTGCCGCCGGGCGCATAGTGTTTCAAAATATCATCTTCTTACATTTAATATCATCGTGAAATCTACGAGGGGTTATCAAAAAGTTCGTGGAATAGCGTCATAAAATTAAAACCGCTTTAGGTACTCGGATGAATTTTAAAATATATAGTTATCAACATCTTTTCTATCTAAAGAATAAACCATGAATCATAAATTTTATTTTTTAATAAGTTAGTAATGTTTTTGTAAGCAATTGTATGTCCAGGCGGCGCAACCTCGAACACGATGTTTTTGCGACCTATGTGTAACTGAGAAAAACTCTTTTGATATGATCATTTGACATCCTAAATTCCCGTTATTCTATGTATGTGTCGGGACACAATTGTTCCATAAAATATGATATTTTCACTTCATTTTGGGAGTTCTATGAAATTTTATTGTAAAGTTTACACGGAATGTCCAAACAAATGAGGCCTCGAAAATTACGTCAAAAGGGGGGAGGGGTTTCCCTTTCCAACATTCTATAAAGGTTTGCCTCTGAAAAAACTGATATAGACCTAAAATATGTTGAAACTGGTTACAGAGAAATAATATGCATCCAGATTACTTGTCTTTTAATGTGAAAATAGATTCAGAGAGAAAAGGGATACACGGTAAATGTCGATTTGCAGACAAGGTGTTAAAAATCAATCACGTCAAAAAATGACGTTGATCATATGTTGTAGATATCGAACTTCCAAAAGCAAAATATGCCGGCACAATCAAGTGCGGATCTCTCCCAATGTATTAATCCATTTAGAATATTATATTTATTGAAGACCACTGTTCATGACATTGTAAAGTCATATAAACAAGGCGGGTTTAAGTCCTTATTCAGATCCAAGGAATCTCATCAAAACAGTGTATGAGATAGAAGAAGCGAACATTGAAAAAACAATGACGTTATCGGACGTCAAGAAAACAAACGACGACAGCCCCGGATGATCACATAATGTCGTTTTAATGTTATAATAATTTGCCAAATAATGAACGTATCAGGCTAAAATTTTCAACATTTCTTTATTCTTTCAAGCAGAACATGGCAGTCAGTATATAGTTAACGGCTACCTTGAAATGGCAGTCAGTATATAGATAACAGCTACCTTGACATGCCAGTCAGTATATAAGTATATAGATAACAGCTACCTTGACACTTCCCTGTATCCTTATGACAGCTCAGCTGACATTCTGTCGGGCACCGACCCAAACAAAATTTACCATGGAAACCATCAGGACAAACCTGACTACAGTTCTCGCCAAAAGTTCCTACATCACACGCTGTAAAATTACCAGTTTGTTATTAGGAATTAGAGTTGTATGCTGTCTTGACAGAAAAAAAGGGTTAAATTGCAAGAAATTACCGATGCACTGGCCACCTCGTAAAAAGTAATTGACACAGCAAACGCCAGGCCTGAAAACAGAATGATACCGAATCACAGAGTAAATGTAATAAGCTTTTCATCTCATAAATGTAAGAATTTAATGGTTACATAAGTTATACCTAATAATCATCTTTAGGAAGTTTAAACAAATGCAAGCCGATAAGCACTTTTCAAACAGTGTAAGCGATTTCAGACAAGGTGTTTTAAGCTATAGTAACTAGTACTTAGGAGGATTGAAAATATTAATGATGTTTTATTTTTCAATATCATTAAGGGAAACGATTTTCTTTCAAAATGGCTTTAAGTTGTACAGGTTTAGAATTTCCCATGATCTTTAGTTAGATTTGTATTTAGATATGATTTTTACTCAACGAGTTGTGTGTTTTTTAAAAAACACAATCAGTTGGATAAAAATCATATCCAACTACAAATCATAGGTGATATTATTAAACCCATATTTAATATTTCACAATCAATGTTTTACACATTTTTTTGGTATATAGTACTCCACTTTATATTACTTCATTACACTAACGAAAAACCCATTGTGAAGTCACTTCTGTGGGATACGAAAACGATATTGCATGAGCTATACCCATGGGATAAATGAAACGCTCTTTCGTTCTCAGTCAAATCCCACGTATAATTAAACATAATATTATAATATAATATTAAATATAATTAAATATTAAATATAATTAAATTCTGAAAATTATTTGCTCACCTGCAAAGATTTGGATCCGTGGTTGTAGAAGATTGAATAACATTTACGTTTAAGAAAGCAAATATTACCGAAACCAGCATTCTCATTACAGATATCATTATTGCTTCCTGTTATTTCCAATAAACTGAGTAAGTGAGATAAATTATTCTAGTTTAGAAGAACATGCGGGAAGCATTTGAGTATATATTTGAAGCTAGTAACAAAATTCAAGTATACAATTATGAAAATAATTTAGACGAAGCCCTACAATTATCACTACGGAAATTTTTAACACATCGTATAAACGTATTTAATTATTTTCCCAATTTGGTTTTTGAAACAAATTCTGGAAATCAATTTTATCTTATACGAGCGGTTTTCAATAACAGTGCATTAAAATGAATGTTAAAGAATCAGTAAACTATAATGAAATTAAATGCTTCATTAAAGCTGCTGTAAAACGTGTACAGAATTTCAAAGAAATATTTACTGAAATTTGTCTTTATTACAGCAACCAATGTCTGTTTTATACACACATAAGCAGGAAGATTTGAATGAACAAAAATGATTAAATGGGCGTCAAAAGTGGATACCGTCCATGGAGACAAAGTTTTACAACAACCAATGTTCTTTTGATTAAATTCAACAAATTATCACAAATTATATTTGATTGACTTTAAGACATATATAAGATTTGATAGGCGTCATTTTGGGGGTAATTCACAATGTTTTAAAGACACATTTGACAGTAAAAAAGCTTTATATGCATAGGTCACCCTATGTTTTGAAAAATGAGTGAAATGACAGCGTGTAAGAATATCTAAATAATTAATTTAAACATCAGAAATTGTACTTATTCACGTTTGTCTGAAATTCAAGCAGATAATGAAACTTGAATCCATTGCTATAAACCCCCAAAACAAATTAACATTAATAAGATGCACTTGACAAAACAGCAAAGGCCTGACAAGAGCAAAGAATTGCAAGAGCACAAAATAGTTTTATATGCTATTTTCCTAAATATTAGTGGTCTTGTTGTTCAAATTCTTATACTGGGAGTTAATTCAATTGAAAGAGTCTAGAAAGCAAATTTTTTGCAAAAAAATTGAAAGGTGTATTAGAGGAAGGAACCAGAATAAGGAAACCACTACAGTACTTTTCTTTGGGACAGCGTCCAAACCTACAAGCCATGAAGGGTAAAGAGTTTTGGGGTTAAACAGAAACTTCATGCTTTGTCGGACCAACAATATTCACCACATCTTTCAACCATTGACTTATTGTATTTCCTTAACTTGAAAAAACACATTTCAGAAAGAGAAAAGAAGTACAGGTAATAATAAGATCTGCCATAATCCAGTATATGAAGGGTCATACTCAAAAATGTGTTCTAAAAACAATTAGAAATTGAATAAAATTGTTACAGACATATATTTTAATTAAAGAGAATATTTAATTGAAATTATCAACCATACTAAATCATTGAAAGGTGTTTTTGGTTTCTTTCCGAGCACCAATGACATTATTTATTGAACGTCCCTCGTATTTACCGAAACATTTGGTAATTTGCTTTCTTTCTTAAAAATATTTTTGAAAAACTTATTTACAAATATTGCTAGTATTTGTTTCTCATGTCATGACTTGTGATGGAATAGGGAGCTAACGAACAACATTTGATAAGCTCAGAATTCCATAAAACAATAGAAATCAAGAACATATAAATGCGGACCTCTACATCAGATGAGGAACGGGGTGGCATTAAGGGGTAAGCATCCCTTGCCAACAGATCACATCCACCGTATGTTTCTCTTCATATCGTTAAATAATAAAAAAAAAATCCGTCGAAAATTCAATGTATTAATAATAGCCTAATGATTATGATGAAAAACTTGAATCAAAATATGACCTAATGACAGACTGTATTTGCTTAGAATGTCGTTTTAGTAACCAAACAATATATTAAATTAGATGTGTCAGACTTTTATTTCAAGCTCAGAGTGATACATCATGTATTTTTCCTCCATTAGATGTATCGACGACGTATTGTCAATTAACAATAGTAATTTCCATTCATATGTCGATATGATATATACTGGTGAGCTTGAGATAAAAGATACAACAAAGTCTGACACATCTGTTTCATTCTTGGATATTTTACTTGAAAAAGACGTCAATGGTAATCTAACAACCAAGCTCTATGATAAACGGGATTACTTAAATATTTCTATCGTTAACTTCCCTTACCTATGTAGCAATATACCTTAATCAACTGCATACGGAGTTTATATATCTCAGTTGTCTGATACGCAAGTGCATGCTCTACGTATGAATTTATAAAAAAGAAGAGGTAAATTATTGACAGACAAGTTGATAAAAGAAGAATATCAACCTTTTCGTTTAAAGACATCGTTGCGTAAGTTCTTTGGACCTTGTCAGCAAATAAATTTATCAATGAGTCAAATGTTGACTGATGTTTTTCATATTTATTGTTAGTCTATTATTTATACACTGAATTGACGACGCATTTTTCCGTAATTTCCAAATCATGACAATGTGCACACAGTTGGAGCGACCGGTCACCAGGGGATGCTCACTCCTGCATGGCACCTGATCACACCTCTAATCTTTTTGATGTCCGTGTTTGCTCTGATCCTATTTTGTATTGTTTAATGAACATTTAATCTTGGATATTGTTTGTTATTTCCATATCTTTCATATCCATATCCTTCATTGTATAAATAAATAATATGTTTTTAGATATTGTCAATCGGAAAATCAAGAATCATTTTCAAGCCAATTTAAGAGTACTTTTGTGTGCAATGAGATCGAATTTTGTTAACAAAATAAGTTTGCAAATTACTGTTCACGATGTAAATTTAGAAAGGGCTCACGGTGGATGCTCGGTCAACAGATGTCATTAGAAAAGAACATGTACTAGAGTTTCACAACTTTTTAGATATGTTGAAAAAGAAATTACTGCTTAAAAAAGAAGTGTATTGCTCAAATAGTGATTTAGATAATTTTAATGAAATCTGGCAACCAATATTAGATATATTATAATCATTATCTTGGATTTTATTATTATTATTATTTTTTTTTTTTTCACATTATGCTAATATTTAATTATTGACTTCATTTTCATACATATACATAAGTATCTCAAAGAAAATTTTTTACCATTTATATATATATATATAAAACAAAGTATTCGTTTAACATCAATAGAAGATAGACCCTTGTTGCAGTGGAGATTGTGTAAAAAAAAAAAAAGAAGAAAGTCTATATCAATCTCACTGTAACTAGTATTTAGGGCCAGGTCACCCTAAAATACTGGTCTTTTTTATGTTTTACATCTTAAAAACAGGATCAATATGCAGAGTTTTGTGATAATAAAATTAGATTATAAAAACACATCAGAATGAATGAATTTTACAAAGACATGAAAATTTTTTCCTCACATACATAATTTTAATCATATTTTAAACATAAAGTTTCCAGAACCATGAAGAATAACATAGCAAAAACATATTGTGTCTTATAGTGGATTTAAGATTTGAATACATGTACATGTATAAATGGTTTATCACGGGAGCATATACTAGTATTAGAATCACAAAGAATTTTGAAATACATGATTAATTTTCTCTTTGAAATTTGTCAAATCATGTGATTGTAAAAGTGAAAAATTCGATTTCATTTCATTTTTGAATGCGTTTTTAATGCTGAAGTCAGTTATTTTTAAATTCTCATATTTAATTTTATTTCTTGTTTTCCATATGACCCATTTATAAATAGATATTAAAATGTTAACAACGTTTCTTTGGGTTTGCGGTTCCTTCAAGTAGCCTAATGTTATTGTTTGTTGGTTAATTTGTAAAGTTTCATTTAGTTGCAGCACATTTTCAATTATATCTTCTAGTAATTTAAGTGTTGTTTTAACTTTTGTGCAATGGAAAAAGAGGTGTTGTTGATTTTCTTTATGATTTTTACATAGGTTGCATAAACCATTGGATAGTCCGATTTTACATAATTTATCTTCAGTATACAATATATTATGCACGCATTTCCATTGGAATTCTTGAATTTTATTTTTAACTTTCATTTTTGAAATACTGTCCCAAACTAAGTTCCACTGTATGTTATTTTGGTAAATATTTTCCCATTTTTCTTGACATTTTGGAATTATTGTCTTGTTTAATATTTTTTCTATGTTCTTTAACTTGATATCTTCAAAGGTTTCCACTTTATTAGTATCTCTTTTTATAAGTAAATTATTATTCAATTTATAAGGGAGTTTTATTTCGCTATTCGATACTGAGCTGTTTCTTTTCAGTATTGGATAAAACAGTTTAGGAATGGCTGATTTTATTTTACTATATTCAAATATCCAACATCTTTTGTCTACTAATTTATTAAAAATGGTGTCGTTATATTTAAAACAATTTTCCGCATCATTCCAAATGTCTTTAATTTTTAATAAACCACTTTTGATAAATGATTCTACATATAGGCTTTTCCCTTGGAATTGTATAAGTTTATTACCAAAGAGTGAGAGGTTAAGTATTTCCTCTCGATTCTCTGGCACAAATTTTGACTGAAATTCGCTGTATGCGATGAGTGCTTTCTTATAAAAACTAGACATGTTATTTAAGGAAATTGGAGATAAATCTGAACAAGTCCATAAGAAATATTCTTGACTTGAATGCATATCTTTACTCTGTAACCAGTATTTACCAATAGCATTCCATGTTTCTAATTTTGAATGCATGATTTTATAAATTGTTTTTATTTGTTTACTTTTTATAAAATTAAATAAATTTATCATGTTCATTCCTCCTTCGTTCTTGCTTAAGCAGCACACGTTTCTGTCAATTTTATTTAATTTATTATCCCAAATAAAAGACCAGACAATGTCATTTATTTGTTTTGCATATATATCAGGTATTCCCCTCATTTCGATTTCATAGCCAATAATTGGAATTATCAAATTTTTTATTATCAAAGTTTTCCCTTTGAATGTAAGGTTCCTTGTTTTCCAGACATGCAAGCTGTTCTTTATTTTTTCTATTTTTTCCAACCATATTGCATTAGTATCGATACCATATCCATGATTTACCCCCAAAGTTTTTATATTAGTTTTTATCCACTGTATCTTTTTAAATTTTGGTGTTTTACCTTTTAATTTGCCTATAAACAGGCCCTTTGTTTTCGAGAAATTGATTTTTGCCCCAGAGGCTTTTTCATATATTTCTAACACATTGAAGGAATGTATTATAGATTCTTCGTCCTTATTAAAAAGTTGTGTATCGTCTGCGAACATATTTATTTTACATTCTATTTTTTTGTCTTTATTAGGAATTAAAATACCCTTTATCTGCGGATTTTGTCTAATAGCATTTTATTATTTTTTAATATACTATGCTATTCAAATAAGTGTTAAAATCAAATCAAAATGTAATTTCCCCTGTAAAAGATTTCTTTGTAAAAACAATGAACAGATAATTTGTATAAAATTATGTAGATAGTAAGCTCCACAATAATTTTTATTGATTTATAAATCAGAAACATTGTCCTAAATGATGTAGATAGATGTTATTGTCTATAGTTGAATTTATTACCTATTAATATTATCTATTTTATAATTTTGTATATGAAGAGCCAATAAAAAAATTAAAAATATTTATCCTCTTAATTTTCCTTCTCCGGACAGCTGATATATTTATTTACCACTACATAAGAGGCATTATAAATGAGTCACTTGGATTACGTAGAATTGGCATTCGCCCTCGTATGACGAGTCCTATGGCGAGATTAATATTATCGTTACCTTTGTGTTCAACTTCGGTGAACATCGTAACACTGCACTCTTACATTTGAGTGCTCGTCTATCATTGGTTAGGGAGCTACTTCCTAGCGGCGTCGACTTGAATCAAGGGCAGGTAATAGTGTTTTCCCCATTTCAGGCGATGGAGGTACTTGAGATAGAGGAGACGATCGCCGGTGTGTGGTCATTTCACAGGGACGAGAATCTGGATGGATACCTCAAAGAATGTGGTAAGGAAAATACAATTTAGTAAAAATTTGATACTTACGTTCAATATTCGACTTTTTTTCAAAGATTGTTTACAGTGTGTATAAAGAAATATTACACATTATATTAAACCTAAAGAGTCAAAGATATTTGGGATGAGAGAAGGAGAAATAGAAAAAGAAAGTCTTTGTGAATGCGTGCTTCTATTTGCATTACTTAGATATGCTTCTTTTTACAATTTTACTTTGAAAGTGGTCTTACATTTGTTTTCCTTCACTAGGTGTAAATTTCATCTTACGTAAGCTTGCCCGGGCTGCCTGCCTCTGTATTACAATGGTGATCTCTATAGAGGAGGGTCAGTTACGGATACAAAACAAAGGCCCTAAAAACACAGACCACAAAGCTCACCTGGGAACAGAGATCCACATTACAGACTTGAATCATAATCCTATGATGGTATTTTTTTTTCTTTCTTTTTTTTTTTTTTGATTAGGCAATTTTTAAAGGAATAAAATGAATGCCACTTTTAAGGACGACAAATGATTGCATTTTTATTAAATCAGTCAAATTTTCTTTTCAAAAATCGCTTTACGTTTTTTTCCTTTTTTTTTTTTTGTATCAACTGATGTTGGATTTATTTATTTATTTTTCATTTTTCATTTGTCATGTTGTTCGAGTTATTTTTATCTATTTGACTTACTGATGGCAATTTCTATTTATTTATTCTAGCTTTACAGCAATTCAGTATGTTTAAAAAAAAATGACTAGCTTTCAAAAAATTTGACGGCAAATTCTACTATAGAAAACCAAGCTTACCTAATTATATATGTCATATCTTGAAAATAGAAGTTTTTTAATTTATGCGTACACGCTTGTACCGCGTGTTGTGAATTACAGACACTGGTTTTTATTTGAGTTTTGTTTGACGTAAAAACACTGCACAATGAACCATGGTAGCATGAGAAAAAAGTTATCCATCACTTGTTAATATAACACGCTGGGATGGCCATGATTCACTTCAAAATAATAGTTATACAGAGTTCTGCAAACAAACAGATTTCTTGATGATTAAAAGTTCTGATAATTCCGTCATTTAAACCCCTAGTGGCGTGTTGTTCATTTAAACCCTGTACTGAGCGACCTTACTTTTGACAGGTCCCTATAATTAAGTATTTTTAAGCTGCTATGTGTGTATTGTTGATTCACAGGAGGTACACACGTGGGCTAACAATCAGCTGATTACAATGTCTAGACCTACAGAGGGCTCTAAAGCACTTCCTACAAAGGTCATACGGGAACTGGTGGATGGCCATTTAGTCATGGTAAATAATTCTGTTAAACATTTTTTTTTTATATTGACATATTAAATACTGATTGTCATTTCTTAATTTATTACGACATATTCAATGATTATCGTAAAGTGTATGATCATAAATATTTATTTGGCTATATGATTGGAATTTTGATAATGTTAATTTAAAATCATTTTGTTTTAGGTTCTTCAAATTAGTTTCATTTTATAATGCACGTATCTTAAATTGAATATTTCAATCTGTATTATTTGCTAAAAATTTCTAATTTTTCTAATGATGTCATTTTTTGATATTATTTTGTAGACTCTCCTGGTAAACGATGTTGTCTGTAAAATGATTTATAAACGGAAAAGTTAATCAGTCATCACAAAAGAAAAATGGAAAACTCAAAGGAGTGGACGTAAAATCCACAGCTACTGTCCATCTGTCAACTGTGTTTAGTGTTTCAAGCTCAGGAACTGCATTAGTGTGTACATCGAAGACTTGTTATGTTGGATGTAGCAGAACTGCAAAATGTGAATGTTAGTGGCGGATCCAAGTACATGTAACCGTGTGAATGGAAATGACATACTGGGTGCCACGTTATCTGAACAAATCAATATATGGTGCTGTTTTTGTGTGATAATTCATGAGATATTGTTATTATTACATTGTTTTTTTTATTTCTGAAAGAAATGTTTTACGATCAATGTTAGAATAAAGATCGATGATTGAAAACAATATTTTACTAGATAAATCCAGCAAAAATATATATCTTCAAAACATTCATTTTTTAATGACCGTTTTGTCTGTTTGTTTAGTTCTCTTATCTGCTAAAATATTTTTAAGAAGGATTCCAATACTCAAAATATGCTATGGGGATAATGAGGACAAAATCGGTGTATTAATAATGGACTTACTATTAGTATAGAAAAGTCATTCAGCATTTGTCTTAATGACAATTTGTATTTGCTGACAAAGTCATTGTATCGACTATAAAGCTTATGAAATTATGACTTTAAACGATATTTCTGATATTCTTGTTTCATCAACCTGCTTGTCAATAATTTACCTCGTTTTAGAAATTGTTCATAAGTAGAACATGCTTTTGCGTATCGAATCAATAGAGATGCATAAACTCCGTATTGCAGGTGATGGTGATGAAGGTACTAGTATATATTGCTGCATACATGTAAAGGAAGTTACGATAAAAATGCCATCACATTTATCATAGAGCTTGGTTGTTGGATTAACATTAACGTCTTTGTCAAGTAAAAAATCCAAATATGAAACAGATGTGTCAAACTCTGTGGTATCTTTTTTCTCAAGCTCACTCGGATATATCGAACCTGCACATGCACGAATGGAAATCACAATTGTTATAACTGACAATACGTCGTCTAAAAACTTACATCTTTAGAAATTGTTTTTTTTTTTGAAAGATGCCTTAGCCCATTTAAGCAACTGGGAGACATGAACTCTATATACAGATGACAAGGGTATTTATCGCTACATACGTAATAGAAGTTGACACTTGAAAAGAAGTCATCAAGTTTATCATAAACCAGGGTTGTAAGGTTATTACGGTCTTATTCTAGTACAATATCCAAATATCAAACAGAGTATCACTCAGTGGTATCTTTTATTCCAAGCTCATTGAGATATATCGAGTCGACATTTGAATGGTAGTGTCTATAGTTAATTGTTAATACCTCATCGATATACCCAAATATCAAATCCAATTATGAAAATGATTTGTCAGATTCAGTATCTTTAATTTCCAGTTCAAATGGATATATCGAAATTAGGTTGTAATAAAAATTAATAATGTTAATTGAAAATCTAGCTGTTATTCTATTTTTCGGCGGTATTGACCTTGTCAAATCAGTATTGCATCAATAATAAATACTTGTGTAATCTTTTGGCAGGGAAAGCTTACTCCTCCTAGGCATGTAGTCCCATCTCTAGGTTTCAAAGAGCTCGTGTTTATCTCCTTTTCAAAGATTCGATATCTTTACTAGATTCATGAGATTGATCACTGTTCGTTACGTTTAAAATTTGCACATAAAACAGCCATGTTTGTTCGATGTAAAGAAATTCATATGTGCAAAATAATTTAATGCGAGTATTAAATGGTCGAATTGACATAATTTTGTATTTTACTTCCGATCTCTATTGGAAAAAGCATTGCTGTTTGCAGTGTTTATAATTAGCCACACAGACAACAGCTACATGTTCCATCAAAATGCAGAAGGTACACATGTTCTTTTATTATTGGTTTTTGTTCAGCAGCATAAGGTAAGCAAATGCTACAAATTTTGCATCTGACATAGTGCATAATAAGTGCTTTCTGTGCTCTAGTACCAAATATTTGATCTGAAAATTGGTCTGACAACTTTTTTACTCTAAATGTAACTTTATCACTTTAGACTAAGATCTCATTACTAACATTCTGTCAAATAATTGTGGATGAGGACGGGTGGGAAGATTTTGATAAGGGAGATAAAGATACAGGGCGTCTGTGGATTTCCCTTTTTGGGTAACATTGATAAATTCTGTCCTGAAAAAAAATAACAGGATTTGATCGATTTTTTACCTCGTTATTGCAGTTGCACAAGGATTTTTATTTGTTATGTGGTTTTTGTTCTCTTTAAACGACAATCAATGACGATAATGTTTTAAATTCTAGGATGTTTGCTATTAAAACAGATGAAATTATAAATTATTCAGTTATAAATAATATGCCCCTTTTAATGTAAAAAAAATAATATTATAAATAAAGGACATTTTCATATGTTATGTGTTCGTCGTAATATACTTTGAAATAAACAGTTATGAGAACATGTATTAAGTGACGATGTCAAAAAATAAATGTGAAGATGAAGTTCATTAAATTGTAGTTGCAAAACATGATCCACTACTACAGAAAAAGTTACTCCAGACTAAAAAAAGTTAAATAATTCCTTTTGATAACAGAATGCCCAGTAATCGAAGTTTTGCACAACTTATTAATCTGCAATATACGTAAACAATCAAAAGTTTCTAACGATCGTGGAGATATTAAATCATTTAATAGATTGATCTACTCTTCTGTTTTCTTACACTACTTTACAAGTCAACGAAGTCACATATGATTTGTTTGTGTAGCAAGATAATGCACGTGTTGATTAAATGGTCAAATGCGTTGCATAAAAGCATATCAACGCCAATGCATCGTAAAAAATTTTTATTAAATAGGGACACAGTTATAATTTTTGAGTGATTAGTATAATAGATGCTACGAATATATTTGCTGTTTTATTTTCCTGTGACCTAATAGATGTTTCCCCTTGTCGGAAAAATGTAAACATTAAGTGTTTATTTCTTGATCAATAAGATTCTCTGCTATATTATGGTAAGCTTTACATTTTGATTTTCGGAGTTATATTTTCAGTTGTATATCGTCTTGCATAACAAAATGGCAGACATATGTATGCGAGGAACATTATAAGTGCAGAGTGACAGTTATGATAATTTCTAAGGCATCTATGTTTGTTCCATCATCCCTGCAGTGAATATGTTGCTCTTTTAATTTAGATTATAGGAAAAATCTTCTGAATAGCAAAGTACTTAGTTACTAGGCTGTTGAGAGTCTTCAGGATCGACTAAAAGTCCACCAGCAGATGCCTCAACCAGGGATAATAATATGTAAATGACGAAAAACATAAAAAGAAAAATAATTGAATTTTGAAATTAAACTCAAAATTCAAAATAAAACTTTTATACCTGCTGTTTATATCTCCCAACTTATTCGATACTAAAGAGTATGCTCAGCGTACGACCAATTGAGAACCCGAGTCAGACTACTTACAGATAAGTTGATCTTACATGGATTTTAATAACCTTTCAAAGTCAGACTTTAATGAATGATGTGGCCTTTATAAGGTATATGATAATATAACCATTAATTGGGACGTATTTAGGCTGACTTGTTTCACATCAATTGTTTTAAAGACCTTTGTTTCTTTATACTTTAAATGATTGTGTATACCTCATTAATATATTGGTCTCACTGCAGGGGTGACGTATCAACAGGGGATATTATCTCCTCTAATGCACCTGCTCCCATCCCTGGAATTAAAAACAAATCATTGTGTTTATAGAAATGTTAAAATTACAATAATGCACTTACGTAATATACCACGGAATATAAAAATCACGATCGAACAGTAGTCAAGCTCAAAGGTCCATTGAATACATTCAGATTGAAAGCAGACAAAACATGAAAATGTAAAATAATCAAAGGTGGGATCAGGTGCCATGGAGTAGTGAACATCTCCTGTAGACTGGTTACGCCCGCCATGTGATCTATATTATGATCTGACAAACGGAAAAAATCATTCGTATACAATTTGGTATAAAAATAATGGTCTAACAAATTGTATGAAGAAAGTCATTAAACATTTGAGTTAATGAAGCATATAAGTCATTTTTCGGGAAATTTAGCCTTTTTAAAGAAAATTAAATCTGATTATTTACCAAAACCGCTGATAAACGTCAACTAAAATTTTTCATTGCATCAAGATAAAAGAGTGTCTAACGCAACGACGTGCACCACCACCACCGCATCACGTGACTTCTTTTTATAGCCAAAATTTTCCTTAATAAAAAAGCGACCAGAACAACAATACCCCAGAGTTTAATAATTTTATTCTTTGAGTAAATAATGTAGTTGAATAACATCTATTTTGCCTAAAAAGTGCTGCTAGAATCCCACTGTCCCGGCAGTAAAATAATTATTCCACACATTCGCACGAAACCTTACCACATGTCTTAAGTTTTTAACCTATGAACCGAGATTTTTCGCAAACCGTGCTTAACTTGGAATTCTAGCAGCATTTTCCAAGTATTGTAGGGTGCAAACTTTCCATCTGTACAAATTTTATGTTTTGAAATATACAGCTTATTGTTGTTCTGTTGCAATTTCTTGTCTCAAATGACAGAGGAAAGGTCGACCGGGATACGAATATAGCTGGCTGTCTCTGAAAGAGAATAAAATAAATGAAAATAATTTAGCATACCTGTTTTATTAACTGAACTCCATATGAATATCACAAAATATTCACGATATTTGCTTTTAAACTTCATTTTATGTATCTTTGTTCATGCCGTCATAGCCAAATTCTCTTTACACGACATGATCTATTCCCGATCAATTCCCAAGTTACTTGATGTACAATATGACGTCATCGGTGGTAGATTTTAATCAAAATGACAGAACACCTCATAACGAAATAATATGTAGTCCCATCGCTGGATTTCTAGGGGTTAGTAGTGTTTATCACCCTTTCCACGATTCGATATCTTTACTAGATCCATGAGATTGACCATGTTCGTAATGTTCAAAATTGAACATAAAGCGGCCATTTTTGTGATATAAAGAAATGCCTGTGTTCAAAATTACTAAATGCGAGTATTAATGGGTCGAACTGACATAATTTTGTATTTTACTTCCGATCTTTATTGGAAAAAGCATTGCTGTTTGCAGTGTTTATATATAGTCTCAAAAACAACAGCTACATGTTCCATCAAAATGCAGAAGGTGCACGTTTTCTTTTATTATTGGTTTTTGCTCAGCATAAAGTAAGTAAATGCTACATTTTTTGCATTTGACATAGTGCATTATAAGTGTTCTCGGTGTCCTGGCACCAAATATTTGATCGGCAGATTGGTCTGTCTGACAACTCTTCTACTTTAAATATAACTTTATCACTTTAGACTAAGATCACATTACTAACATTCTGTCAAATAATTGTGGATGAGGACGGATGGGAAGTTTTTAACAAGGGAGATAAAGATACAGGGCGTCTGTGGATTTCCCTTTTGGGGTTACATTTATACTTTCTGCCCTGAAAATAATAGCACGATTTGATCGATTAATGACCTAGTTATTGCAGATGCAGAAGGATTTTTATTTGTTATGTGGTATTTGTTCTCTTGTAAACGGCAATCAGTGACGAAATGTTTTAACTCTAGGATTTTTGTTATAAAAACAAATGAAAAAATGAATAATTCAGATTATAAATAAAATACCCCTTTAAATTCAAAGGAAAAATAATATAATAAATGAAGTACATTTTTTTATATGTCTTGTGTTCGTCTTAATATACTTTGAAATAAAGAGTTATTTGCCCCTCGGTGACAGGAAAGCCCTGGAGTGTTATGACACTCGATGCTGAACATGTATTACGAGACTATGTCAAAAAACTCTAAATAAATATGACGAATATTAAGTTCATATTTTCGTTGCAAAACATGATCCGCTACTAAAGAAATAAATAACTACTGCATACTAGAATTTTTGTTTTAAAATAGAAAAATAATTCTATAGATAATATAATGCCCAGTAATCGCAGATTCAGGGGGCATATAGTTTTTGCCCTGTGCACTCGTCTCTTTGTCTGTTTGTTTGTCTGTAACACCTTTTACATTGCCCATAACTTCTGACTGATAAGAGCATACTTCAGTTGCATATTCCCTTTCTTGGGTAAAAATATTTTGATCTTTTTCTTGGTTTTTGGTCTTCTTTTAAAAACCGTAAGCCTTGTCCATAACTTTAAAAAAGTTATTGCTCGAGCTCTAATATTTCACAAGTTTTTTCCTTGTGATAAGCGTTTCTTGGAAGTTGGGTACGAATATTTCTGACATTTTCACCTTGATTTGGTTGTTGGGAGGGACTTCATATTTCACAAGTGCATTCCTTGTGACAAGTCCATCACTTGGATACAAATAATTTTGACCCTTTTATTTTGACCTTGGAGTTTGGCCTAATTTTAAAAACATTTATCAAATGAGCATAGAGAACAAGACATGTCAAATGGTTCAATTGACTGTATGAGAGTCTCTGTTTATGCACTACTAAACGTTGTAAAAATAATCTGCACTGTGTAATTTTGCACAACTTATTAAGCTGCAACATATATAAACAACCAAAAATTTCTAACAATCGTGGAGCTATTAAAACAATGTGAATAGATTGATCTATTCTGCTGTTTCCTTACACCACTTTACAAGTCATTGAAGTCACATATAATTTGTTTGTGTAAAAAGATCTTTTTTTCAGCTCAAGGTCCTGCTCCTCTTTAAGTGATGTATTGTCTTCAAAACAAGCAGAAAACACACACACAATCACACGCACAGAGCAACAGAGAGAGAGAGAGAGAGAGAGAGAGAGAGAGAGAGAATATTAATACTTTTTAGCTGATAGCATATTGCATAACTAAATGACAGACACATGCATTCCAGAAACATTATTACTGCCGAGAGACAGTTATGGTAATTTCTAAGGAAGTTATGTTTGCTGCATCATCCCTGTATTAAATATGTTGCTCTTTTGTTTGAGATTACACATGAGAAGGAAAATGTTGTGAGTAGCAAAGTATCAGGGACTAAAAAGTCCATCAGCAGAGGCCTCAACCCAGGGGTCATAATGGTATTGACGAAAAAAACCTTGAAAAGAAAAAAACACATCGAATTTTGAAATTAAAATAAAAAATTAAAGCTTTTCAAAGTCAGACTTTAATGAAGGATGAGGCCTTTATAATTAAGAGTCAAAATCAGCAAGCATCGAGCATTTAGTTAAAAAATGTGGAAAGTGGCATAGAAACAGATTTGGTTAAAACTCATATATAAATTTTCAGAACAAAGGGTATGATAGAAAAAAGCAAGCAAAAATAATTTTTCGCATTGTTGCTATGGAAACCACGCGCCTTTCCGATAGCGTGTTTTGTAGTTTATCATGACACTTGAATTTATGGTTAAACAAATACTTTTTTATTACTAGTCATTAAAAAAAGCTTTTTTAAATTATTATTTTATTTATATAAATATACTCTATTTTAGCAACTGTTGATTTTTGAAATTCTCTTCACCTTTTGATAAATATAACTAGTTTTTGGAGGTTTATTTTGCTTTAAAAGACAGCAAATTTGAAGTACTTTATAAGAAATCTACAACCACATTAAAGCTTATCAACATAAAATATTTATTAAACAGTATTTGTTCTAGAAGAATCATGAAAAAAATCTGCAGGCAACTAAAGCATTTACATATGATAACTGATTTAAATCCATATTTTCCTGAAACTTTTGCTTCAAATTACCTCCCTTTGGTGTAGCTCTCTAACATAGGAGGAATAAACGGTGGTTTGCTTACATTGTTTTCAATAACAATGTACCAGAAGACTAGTAGAAAATTACAAACTTGGAGCGGTCTGAGCCTCAGTTTTGGCGTTTTCATGGGTCTTAATTATGGTGAGTGATTGATTTTTTTTTCCAGTTACCATTACAACAGTTACTAAAGCATGATTAGCATAAATTAATCATGCAGTAAGATTTGTACACTTGACAATCAAGTGTTTTTGTACATTTTAATTTAATTTAAATAATTCTGATTGATTACATATGTTAGCATTATTTAAGTATTTTATAATATTAAAAAGAAAGATTATGCATGGCTCGTGGAACAAAGAGGAGGGGGTATGTCCCCCCCCCCCCTAATATTGCCGATATTAAACAATAATATCAATTTATCATGATAAAATAAATTTAATCCCCCAACTTAGATTGTATCTGTGGACCTAACGTGAAAAGGTTGGTCAGTCACATCACTGTATCACAAATTATAAAGTTTAATTTTAATTTAGTTTATAATTTTGATTTGTCGTATTCACGGTATGTATGCAACCAAAGTCACTCACCAGCTACAATGATTATAATTCATAAATTGATAGTCTGGTAAATCAAAATTTTGTAAAGAAGATATTTTTATTTAACATTTAAGATAATACCTGCTTTTCACATGAAAAAAAAGATATGAATCTATGAAACCAACACTATTATGAAATATTTGTAAAATTGAAAGACTTTTGTTAGGGCGTCCGTAAAAAAAAATGAAAAGGAGGAAGGGGGTTAACTCTGTTACTGTACTTAATATTTTTAGTTTAGGAAAGGGGATTACCTCGGAAGTATTGTGATACAGACAACTGTATAAAGTAGTGTACTAGTGGTAACTGAATTGTAAATATACCACAGCAAAATAATGAATTAAAAAAAAAACTTTTTGCTGCTGTCATCCAGTGTTTACCTATAAAAGAAAATTCATGTCCAGCTAACATTTTCTCCGGTACCACTGAACTAATTTAAGCCTACTAGGTTCAAATAATAAGCATCATTAGATTGAAAGCACAAAAATGTTACGAAATGAATATCTATATGCCATTTATTCTTTGGGGGGGGGGGGTAATGGAAAGATATGAAAAACATAATTTAGAGTTTTGACAAAATGACAAAAACCTAGAATCAGTTGACCTTTTTATTATCTAATTTGTGTTGTTCACTTCTGTTTTTAGAATGAAATTCGGCACTTTGAAGTCAAACTCGGGAAGAAGCAGAAACAGAATTGAATGAGCTGATAATTAGAATAACACAGGAAAAACATGTAAATAATACATTAAAATTAGTAGAAACGTTAATTTTTTTAAATAAAATGATAAACCATTGAGATTTCTTGGAATTTAATTGATTTCAATAATCATGCTTGCATTCATCACCATTGTTCAAGCTCAACTAGACATTGATCCTAGTAAATGAAGACAAAGCTGTATAATATTATTACATTTTAATTTTATCACTTTTTCAGATTCCGAGAATACATTATTACAGTACAGGCCCATTGATGCAGGAAGTGAGTGGATAGTACATGTAATACCCTCAGGGAGCCAGAAAATAAATCCATAAATTGTATTCATTAAAGTGGATCAAATAAAAATGTTCAATCCAAAAGTAACATTCTTTGTTTGTCTGTTATCAATTTTGTATCGATGTAAATCTAATGACTATCACTTTTTGGCATGCAGATTCATAATAAGATAGTAGAAGAATCTGAAACATATCTTTATATTCTGCATTTTGAAGTATATGTATCATATATAATTAAAACAAGGTCAATATTAAACTAGAACTGTCCAAATGGGACAAAATACCCCCGCTGGGTTTTGTTTAGAGGTGCTAAATCTTGAATATTTTATGGATCTAAGAGAAGAGAGAAATGCTAAAACATTTTTAGTGCAAATGTAGTTGCTCATTAATTTTTTATAAATGAAACGAAGGCGCAGCCTAAAAAAAAAGACTTTATATACAGATCAGACACAAATTATTAACTTCTTCTTCAGTGACCTTGAACTTGCATAAATGACTTTGGTATAAAGTCATGACACAAACTCAGGTGTGTATTCAAGTTTTTCAATTATAAACAAGAATTAGGAAATTTTTCTTCTAGTGTCCTTGAACTTCCCCAAATGACCTTTGGTCAAGGTCATGACACACCCTTAGGTCATGGGCAATCTTTGTGTGGAGAAGTAGATTCTAATGTTCCTCTAGAAGAAAGATATGGACCGGACACTTTTGCACAGCTAGACAGACGGACGGTCAAACTGATTCCTATATACCCCCAATCAATCAATTAATTTCAAAACTGACAAAATATTTTTGTGAGAGAAAAAAATGAGGACTAGTTTAATACAAAGCTTTCATTTTAAATATTTCACTTTATAGCATTCTTATAATTTTTTTTAGAGTCAGTTGAAGTTTGAGACATTCATTTATATACATATATAAATAGCCCTTGTAGATTTTCATTTTTGGTACTTAGAGATCTTAGCTGTCATGAAATATTGTTTCTTAATTAGGGCAATTTTGAAAGTGCATGGTGTTGGGTAGGCATAGATAAAACTGCAAGAAAAAAAAAGAAAAGTGGGGAATTTCTCCAAACTCAGGGGGATGGGGCTTTCAGTGAATATCAGGTTACGTTGTGTGTCATCCCCCCCCCTAAGCAACCCAAAACTGATGCCACATGCCTGATTGATATGGTTTTACTTTAAAATTATATGATGTGTCAAAGTGATTCTCTTTTATAAACTAGCATTATTGTGAGCAAGCTCATTAAGTGATTACCCACCCTCCTGCTATTGCATAAAATGTTTTAATTACAAACAAAGGTCCAAATATTTATTTAAAACCTTTTTAAAACTTTGCAATACAGATATACATATCCAAATGAATATGACATATACTCAAGTCATAGGTAGTAAAACCTTTAAATTGTGTAGAGCACAAACTTCCGATTTCTCTTCATTCGAAGTTATAAGAATATGTAAATGTACCAAACTCATATAGTACACTTTTACTGCAGTGACCTTGAAAAAGCTATGTCCTTGAGTCAAGGTCAAACATGTCCAAATGAACTTTGGTCATAGTCATGACAAACCCACAGCTCAAGAACAATCCCTGAGAAGAAATTGTAAGTCTTTCCATTAGAATGGGCAACGATTGCACTATTCCTCTACCAATGACCTTGAAATTTTTCAAATGACCTTGGGTCAAGTTTTGGACACATCTCCAGATCTTAAGCAATCTTAATATCAAGTATGAACGTTCATTGGTGCTTCATTGAAATGTTATGAACATGTAAAAATTTAACATACATATGGAGGGATGAACAAGGTGATTCCTATAAACCCCCCCCCCTTTTTTTTTCAAGTTTCGATTGTGATGAATATAAAATTCCTTTTTGAAATAATTGAATGTGCATTTATTTATCAACAATAGTAAAATTATGAGTATGCTTTGATCAGAATCAATATGACCAATATAATGGGCACTGTACATGTAATCAATTACCCCCACCCCTTCAAAATAGCTTAAATAAATGCCAGATTGTCACACATTTTAACCATTTGTAACTTTTTTCTACTAAAGTTGCCTGCAAATTTTATTGTATAGATATGACATATAGATAACCCCTAACAAGATCACAGCATTCATTTTTCCAGCAGTGGTTGTAGATTTCGCATATAAAGTGATAAACATATGTATTTTTTTCAAAATTAATAAGCATTGACGCCATGTTCTTTTCCCGTTGTCATGGCAACAATATCACTACAGAAATTTTGTTTTTCCTATTTTTTAAGAATAAAGTAATTCCATCCTTTAACAAAAAAGTAACCAAAATACCTTATCTTATCACGTTCAGAAAACATATTCATAGAAAAATGTCTAAAAATCATTGATTTTCATAAGGATTTATGGGCCCGTTGCTAGGGAAATGAATTTCCTTGGATACCAGACCCTTCATACGTTCAAAAAAAAATTTTAATTGTGTTTTAGCATAAGTTAGGACAAAATATTTTATATAACAAAAGCTTTTTGAAAAATAAAATTTTGAATTTCCATTCAATGCTCGATGCTTGCTGATTTTGACTCTTAACTTATATGATAATAATAACCATTAATTGGGTTGTATTTAAGCTGACTTGTTTCACATCAATTGTTAAGACCTGTGTTTCTTTATACTTCAATTGACTGCGTATACCTCATTAATACATTTGCTCACTGCGGGAGTGACTTATCAACAAGGGATATTATCTCCTCTTATGCACCTGTTCCCATCCTTGGAATTAAAAACAAATTCTTGTGTTAATAGAAATGTTAAAATTACAATAAAGCACTTACGCAATATACCACGGAATATAAAAATCACGATCAAACAGTAATTAAGCTTAAAGGTCCATCGAATACATTCAGATTGGAAGCAGACAAAACATGGAACTGTAAAATAATCAAAGGTGGGATCAGGTGCCATAGAAGATGAGCATCCCCTGTAGACTGGTTTCGCCCGCCATATGATCTATATTATGATCTGACAAACAGAAAAAATAATTCGTATACAATTTGGTATAAAAATAATGGTCTAACAAATTGTATGAAGAACGTCATTAACATTTGAGTTAATGATAGATTGAATTTAAAGGCCATTGTATCAAACAAAAAAGTTACAAATGTAGGCTTAAAACGAGGTTGACGAGGTTCGTGTTTTGGTCTTATTGTTTAATCAATATCAGTTTGTCTGTAAGTTGCTAAAAAGCTCCTCGTAGAAATTATTCGTAGAGCAAAATGGGAGACATAAGCTCCATAGGCAGGTGCTACTGATAGTAAATACATAAATAAGGAAGGTTGACAACAGAAAAATTGAATTAATCACTTTTATCTAAAAATGTTATTGTTAGGTTACTACAAAGGTCTTTATCAGGTAAAATATCTAATTATGAAACAGATTTGTAAGATTCTGTATCTTTTAGTTCGAGTTCAAAGGGATATATCAAAATAAGGTACATGTAGTAATAAAAATTAATATTGTTAATTGATAAACTAGTAGCTATACTGTTTCCTTTGGCCTGATCTAGTCAAATCAGTATTGCACCAATAATAAATGCTTGTTTGATCTTTCGGCAAGGGATGCTTACTCCTCCTAAGTATGTAGTCCCATCTCTGGATTTTTAGGGGCTAGTAGTGTTAAGCTCCCTCTCCACGATTCGATATCTTTACTAAATCCATGAGATTGATCATGTTCGTAATGTTCAAAATTGAACATAAAACGAAAATTTTGTGACTTAAAGAAATGTATGTGTTTAAAATTACTTCATGCGAGTATTAATGGGTCGAATTGACAGAATTTTGTATTTTAAATTACTTCCGATCTCTATTAGAAAAAAAAAATCAACAGCTACATGTTCCATCAAAATGCAGAAGGTGCACATTTTCTTTTATTACTGGTTTTTGCTCAGCATAAAGTAAGTAAATGCTACATTTTTGCATCTGACATAGTGCATTATAAGTGTTCTCGGTGTCCTGACACTAAATATTTGATCTGAAAATTGGTCTGTCTGACAACTCTTCTACTTTAAATATAACTTTATCACTTTAGACTAAGATCACATTACTAACATTCTGCCAAATAAATGTAGATGAGAACGGGTTGGAAGTTTTTAACAAGGGAGATAAAGATACAGGGCGTCTGTGGATTTCCCTTTTTGGGTTACATTTATACTTTCTGCCCTAAAAATAATAGCACGATTTGATCGATTAATGATCTAGTTATTGCAGATGCAGAAGGATTTTTATTTGTTATGTGGTATTTGTTCTCTTGTAAACGACAATCAATGACGAAAATGTTTTAACTCTAGAATTTTTCTTATAAAAACAAATGAAAAAATGAATAATTCAGATTTAAATAAATAAAAAAAACCTTTAAATTTTAAGGAAAAATAATATAATAAATGAAGTATATTTTTTTTATATGTTTTGTGTTCGTCGTAATATACTTTGAAATAAAGAGTTATTTGCCCCTCGGTGACAGGAAAGCCCTGGAGTGTTATGTCAACCGATACTGAACATGTATTACGTGACTATGTCAAAAAACTCTAAATAAATATGACGAATATTAAGTTCATATTTTCGTTGCAAAACATGATCCGCTACTAAAGAAATTCATAGCTACTGCATACTAGAATTTTTGTTTTAAAATAGAAAAATAATTCTATAGATAATAATATGCCCAGTAATCGCAGATTCAGGGGACATATAGTTTTTGCCCTGTGCACTTGTCTCTTTGTTTGTCTGTAAAACCTTTTACATTGCCCATAACTTCTGACTGATAAGAGCATTCTTAGCTTGCATAATTATTCCTTTTCTTGGGTAAAAATATTTTGAACATTTTTTTTGGTTTTTGGTCTTCTTTTAAAAACTCTAAGCATTGTCCATAACTTTAAAAAAGTTATTGCTCGAGCTCTAATATTTCACAGGTTTTTTCCTTGTGATAAGCGTTTCTTGGAAGTTGGGTACGAATATTTCTGACATTTTCACCTTGATTTGGTTGTTGGGAGGGA